GAGAGGGCTTGAAGACCAAACTTGAAAAGATTGGTATCGGGGGGACAATTGAGAGCGTCGACAACGTAACGGATGGCAATTCCGAGAGGAACTGAATCTACAAGATCGTGATGAATAATAGAGCCAAATAGATATCCAGTCATGGCAAGCTCGCGAGCGGGGTAGTAGGATTGAAAGAATTTGTATTCGTCGAAGAGGAAGTGGAGCATGCAGGAGAAAATCTCGTGGTCACGAGTATCAGACGAGGCTTTGCTGCGTTGGAGAAGGGCAATGACTTCGTCGATAGAGGTCTTTTCATCATACATGTGCTTGTAAATGGCGTCAACCTCACTCTCAATCTCCGCTGAATAATTGACGACAGTCAATCCAGGATCGATATCGCTACCGGAGATGAGGCTCATGAGACGAGGATGAACCTGCAAACAGGAGTTGCGAACTTCGAGACAGTAATCAATGTCATCTCGGAGCATTTTGGCAGAACTACAAACAGACAGGTAAGGGAAACAAAAAAAAAAGAAGAATAAGACGGGGATACTCACTTATTACGGAGAATGCGTAGGAATATGGTAATGGTGTTGGGATTTAGGGACATCGTACGACTGTCGACGGCAGGATCCGACATTCTTGCCTCCTTCTCGTTCTCCATTTTGTCTTCCAAATATGCAACCATGGCGCGTAAAAACTCTTCTCCATGTTGATTAACGTTATCGGCCAACCACTTGTCAAGGTTGAGGTACTCTCGGCGCGATGCCAGCGAGGCGACATCGAGGGCAAATGCAAAGGGCCGAACATCGAGCAAACTCTCCAGAATCTGATCCCATTTATAGTCATCATGAGCGCCTTGAGGCTCATTTTGGCTTACCTTGAGGTCCTGAGCTACGTCCAGGATCCTCGAGATATTGAGAGGATTTTCCGCATAGAAGTCGCGGAATGCATCGGTCAGGTAGGTCGGCTCGATCTGCCACAGACGCATCAAGACCAACTGGTGGTTAGGATGCCCGGCAAGGAACATGGCTAGAAGTTTCCGAGAGTATTCCACACGTATTTCGTTCCAGTTCGCATCCTTGTCGCTATTAAGGAAGAGAAGTACGTGAAAATAAAAGAATGACTTACCGGCACTTGCAGTAAACCCATTTGTACCAGTTCAGCGCTGATTTTCAGTGCCTTGTCGAGCATATCCCTAACGCATGAGCGAATTTCGGCACTGTCCGAGTCCGCGAGTCGTACGAGAACCTCGAAGACATCCAAAGAATTCCAAGTGTGACTCTGTACATTTGCTGCAAGGGACTTGATTGTGGGACTCGCAACTGCAACGTCATCCACTGTAACGATCCTCCTGCCTGGCAAAGATACAAAATTGAATGTGTCCGCAGGTAGTGAGAGCAGTGCATCAAGAAGTTTCAGTTGATATAATGAGTTGGACCATGACCCCCAGAAACCAATCACAGCATGAGGATCAGCATCACGTGGGCAGTTAAGCAGAATGGCGATCAGAAGCTTTAAGGTAGCAGTATCCACGCCATGACGGTCGGGCAGATCGAATGCCTTAATGACATTCGCCCAATTCAAGGTAGTGTGCTAATCACGCACGTGAGTGAATGCAAATCTCGATCAAAGAGACACTTACAAAGCTGCTCAATGCCCTCACCAAAGCTCCGACATCACATAACGTTGTACCCTCCGCGGCCAATCGAGCCAAATTGGACATGATCTCCACCAATTGGGGGTCTCGAGGAGGGTTCGCATCCGAAATCCCGAAGCGTTGTAGCAGAGCGCAGACAGTATCGGGATCGCTGGTAATATCAGGACCCAACTGAATTAGTGTCTGCACCAGAGAAGTGCCAGGAGGCAAGCTGCGCAAAAGGGTCGGGTTAATAGTTGGCGAAAATTGTAAACACATTGCCCTGACCTTAGCGTTGGGAAGATGCGCTGCAGGATAGGTGCGACAATTTCGGGCCCATACTTGGCCTGCGCAGCAGCAATGAGCGCTTGACGCTGCGTGGGATCCAGGATTGGGGTCTCGGAGGCGGACTCGGAAAGAAGATTTGACATGAGTTTCGCAACTTGCTGAGGTGAAAGATCGGCGTGGTCGAATGAGGGGTGCTGGCAAAGTGCAAGTACTGCAATTTCAAAGTCGTGTCGTATAAGGGACATTGCTTGGGCGGCAAGTTCCTTCCTCGTGGGCGAAGAAGCGATAGCTGAGGTCAGGACAAGTCTCTCCAAAGGGCGTAAAGCCACCCGATCAACAAATCGTAGGAGATCAAAGTGTCTGAATGCGTCCCCTTCGCCCTTGTCTATGCCCTCACGAAAACGGTCAGCGAGAAAAGGGTCACGAGCGAGTCGTTGAGTTTCTTGAACGAGGAGTCGAAAAGTCAATGCAGTGGAAGTATCAAAAGCCGATGGAGGCGCTGAAGATGCTAGTCTGCCTTGGGAATGAACAATCAAGCGACGAATAAAATGGAGGTATGTGTCAAGCCCGTGCTGCTCAGAAAGCTAAAAAGGAGTTCCCATAAAAATAGGAATGATTCAGTGATACAAGAACAGCCAACTTAATGCTGATAACCCTCACCGAACGGATTTCAAGCTGATTGCGATCAAAATTGTCTTCTGTGAGGGTTGAAAGAAGAAAGACGATTTGAGCCTTTACAATTGTATGTATATTGGCGTTTGGAGGATTATCCATCGCCGAAGACCTGGCAGCAGTCTCCGGACGTCGCGAGACGATCCCACCAGCGGACGCCGTTTTGGAGGATGGAAGTAAGAAAGTATAGAAAGCACGTAGGCCGAGTCTAACAGTGAACACACCAGCCCGGTGGCAACTCGTCCTCACTGCCAACACACAAATCCGGGTGCTGTTTTAAAGCTCCGATTAAATATAGTTGAATTTTACCCGATGATCACTCAGGCCTCATACATGTTCATGATGATGTACGACACATTGACGACACAAGTTAAACGTTTAAATGAGCGTTGACAATGCGTTAACGTTTTAATCATTGGGCCGCGACAGGCTACGTCGCTTCAACGGATCACGCAATCACGAAAGGTGTTTTACCATTCCGAATAATTCATTTGCGGGCATGTCTGGCTGCTCAGCGCTCAGCGCTCGGTGCTGGCATTGTCACTATTGTGATGCCCATAAAAAATGAGCAAGCGCCGGTCAACACCTTGAACTATCCGAGTTCACGTTTTACTCAACCTTTACGTTTTAAGCCTACCCGCTTGCTAGCGTGCACAGGGGGTTCACCTGCCTTGAAATATACTTGCAAAGCGTCGACTCGGAGGACTGCAACTCACCTGAGTCCGGACTTAAATCACACTAAGAGGTAAGTTTACTATCATCGCCATTAAGACGTCGGGCGCGAATAACTTCATGATATAGCACTGCCAGAGCATTTGCAGCAAACGTTTGCGACAGTTATTTGTTCAAGTCTCGATGTATAGCATGATACTCAAATCTCTTCAGGCCAGAATGGCAGCAACCACCACTTGAACTCAATCAGGTTTCAGACAAGGTTTTGATCATGATATTCGCCATAAATTTCGAGGGACTTTGCCGCGAGCTGTCATGATGCCCATCCGCTACGGTCGGCCAGCGTTCAGCTAAGCTTCAAGCGAGATGAGATTATTAGGTTCGAGCGTGTAAGTATAGTTACTCTACGTGAAATTTCTACAATCATTTAATACGTGTGCAGTTCTTTCCCTTGGTTTCCAATCAAACCGCCCCATCAGTGGGAGGATGGGTACCTTGTCCACCGTGATCAACCATACATCATGATGTACTTGATATCGATTAGTACCACTACCAGGTGTCCTTGGAAATATTACTCATAGTTGCAGTAAAATGACTGCTGTGAGGAAATGCAGTACCACAGGCTGTCACGCGGCATTAGACTTCACAGCCAAGAAACTCTGAGTCCGTCGATATTACATAATTTCGGTTTTTATTCTTCTCCCGGAGTCTCCGGTCGGATATGTATCAAAATACCGTCAACAGCTCAGCCATGCGTCTATTCAAATTCAAATATTCGTATTTAAGTTCAACCTTCCAGCTTTCTGACTTTCTCTGGTTACCTACTATGCTGCCATTCTGCTGTCCTACTCTGCTCGTCAACCGCATTTTAGCTCCTACGTGGCTCACTAACTGATCTTTTTGGCAAATCTCTCTCTGGTGCACGGTCTCCGAGTCAATGATGATATTGTATAGTTCACAAGTTGGACCATCAGTTTCGCGTTGTTCTTGACGCCTTTGGTTCAAAGCAATGGCGATAACACCATAGGATTGGGAAGAAATGACCATTGTGTTGTGTTTTCATGCCTCATGAAATATTTACATCACTAGGTCTTGATGCGTGCGTGTTCTCTGTTGAATCGGGTGTTGATGTTGCGGTTTCTGGATGTAGGGTTGCTGTCTTGTTGGTCAATCCGTTTCATTGTTTCTGACTTCAGAAATATTTACATCACTTCGTCTTGATACGTGCGTGCTCAGAGTCTGTTGAATCGGATATTGATGTTGCGGTTCCTGGGTGTAGGGTTGCCGGCGCTGCGTGCGTTATTGCCTAATGAAAGTGCAGCCTGCAAAATTTGCAAGTCTTGATCGCTGCCAGGGCTCGTTTTCTACACGCTGTCAAATTGGATCCCACAATAAATTGCTCGGTTGGAGTTTTACTAAGCAGAGATTGGTGAACTAACTGGGTTTCGAACGGCGCTTGCACCATATTTATTGGTCGATTTCGTGCTCCCTATGCTCCCAAAGAGGGTCCACGGAGAGGAGGTTTGAACGGTGTGGGTCAATGACATGTTTTATGATCCAGATTTCTTATGAATCATTCCCTGAGATCTAAAATGACCTTACTGTTATCCCTCGGTCCGATTGCCACACGCAGCATACAGGAAGTTGTTGAAGGCCGGCCTAGATGCTATACCCGGCATTGGCACTGGTTGGTGTGGCGCCTTGGTTGGGCTTCGCCACAGTTCTCTTTCGAAGAGCCTCCTTTCTCATGGCATTCTTAGTATTTGATTTCTTATATAACACCCACCTCGCCTACACCTGTCCTACAACTTTCATCAGTATGGGTCGATCAGACGACAACATTGCCTCTGGAAAGACCACTCAAATAGCTCAGCTTGGCGGTTTGTGAGTGAGGCGTAAGTTAGCTGGAGCACCAGTAACTCACGAGTCTCGTCATAGCACACTTCCAGCGGGGCATTCTCAACGTCAGAACATTTTGCCTTTGCTGGTGGCTGACCAGTTGAGGTGAATCTTTACCATTAAACGATCATTCACTTCTTATCGGATTTACAAGGGACACATCATCGCATTCTCGCGAAAACGTCCCTCCCGGGCTTTTACCGCGTTATTATTCACAGTTACACTCTAGGTGCGCGGTTCGGTAAAACTGCGACCACTTCATCTGATGGTGATCTTAAGGGATGATTTTGCGTATTCTGGTGCCATCGACGGTTCGAGGTATTCGAGTCTGTCTACGGCATGTCACTCGGAGCTCATTCTTCCTTCCATTCTCCTCATTCAGCGCATACCGTTTCGCAGAAGTCGGTTCGACTGCTCATTTTCCCAGTGGTATTTCAAATAGAGATTTTTTTGTTGAAGAGTCTATGCAACCGCCGCAGGACACATCATTCCAGTCTTCGGTAATAGATATATCATACACAGCCAATGGCACTGTTCAGAGCTACGAAGGCAACGCCATTCATCCCCCACTACTACAGCACGCAACCCCGCCTTCCAGCGTTGGCACGAGGTATTCAAATTTATTATACACGGTATCTTATCACGGCTCATTTTTTCCTTATCTAGCTTTGAAAATGACCGCTACATATTGGATTTCGGACCGCCTCCTCAAGTTTCAAGTGAAATTCCGGATAGAAATCCTGTGCTTGCAAATCCTGTACGATCGCGGCCGGACACAATATCACGGCCGTTCGGCGGCACTCCATTATACGGAAGCATAGCCATTGTTCCGATATATGAAGGCGATGTTAGGCATGTCTCGGAATCGCATGCTACAGAATCATTCAGATCCACAGCTTTCTATGATCCAGTGTACCATCGTTCAGACCATTCCTATCATGGTATGACACCCCTTCATCCTCTGTTGCAGTCACCATCATCCATTCCAGCATCCAGGACAGAGACACGTCATTTTAGTGCACATCAGCCAACCCACTTCGCAGACCACACTGTCCAACCTGTATCATTTCGTAGCCATGATGCACAGCGGTCAGCTTCTCCTCAAGTTTACCACATCGATGGCTGTTCCATGGATAAGGATGACCTTACAGGTCAGGGAACCAACGACATCATAACCGTCGGCAAATGTCTTCGCACTGACTCACCGTGCGGCCTTTGGGTGAAAACCAACAAGGGTTCAATCAAGCGCCATGCGCAGAAATGGCATGGGGTTGCTCGTGGGGGTGACACCGACATAGTCTCGTGTACATGGGACAGGTGTAACACCAAGATGCAGAAGGGCGCTGTCCCACGACATACTCTGTGCAAACACTTTCGCGAAAAATTCCAGTGCAATGGGTGCTTGAGATATCTCCCTCGAGACGACTGTTGGAAATCTCACGCCACAAAGTGTACGTTGAGCGGTCGTGGATACATTGTGTCGTATAACCATAGCACCCGTGCCATCAACGTGAAAGACATGTCCCTGAGACAGGCCGGTTACTGATTCTGGATGGGTGAGTATGATTTTTCCTGGGTCTCGTTGATGGTGAACTAATCCATACATTAGAAGGGACCGATTGAGCCAAATGGTCCATTCAGACCAAGTTGTCGTGATTGTCATTCTACTCCTTCACGTAGTATTGCTCTCAGCACTCGCATATTCAAGCATACGCATTCCGTGTTTTTCCAGGCGCTACTACTAATAGCTAGCCTACGTGGCGCAAACTCTTGCAGAGGCAGGCAGACTGGTAGGCACTGCCATCGTAACAGAAGATTTTTCAATCCGCAAAGCTGGTTTACGTTTGATGTACATATGTCGCAGAGGCTTAGCACAGGCCGCATCATGTGGTGGCCCCGCCATTGGCACCATTAGAGTAATTGTCTGTCTAGCTCCAACTAGCACTCTTTACCGGTTACAAAGGAGGAATGTCACAGTATTGTCATGAGTCGTTCATGTTGAGCTGGATTTATGGGCATCCATGGGTATGTATGCACAACTCAATTATCCCACAGTATAAAAGATAATATTTAGTGACAGCAGAATTGTACCACGTTATACATCCCACGGCTAGCATATCAAGGACTCATCAGTTCGCTGATGTCGTACCGCCGTAGCACATATGTTACAATAATTAATGTATACATTAACTGACTCGCATTCTCATACCTCAGCAATCAGATCTTACACGCGGCCTCTCGAAATGCGCACTCTACATAGTGGTATACGTCTGTCCATGGTTCAATGTCTAACTTGCCATGGCTATATCAAATGCTATGAAAATCACCAAGGTAGCCGAAATCAATCACCTTTTCCAGCACTTCCCCAGTCACGTTGCTCGCCGATTCTGAGTTGTCGACGAGAACAGGTGGTCACTGAGAGTCTGTATTTCGAGTCCGTGCTGATAGTGATCAGCAGCGTGTGCGAGGCCGACTATACTTTTCGCATTCAAAGATAGGTTTTCATGCAAGTCGGGGATATATTGTGTTTATTTACAGAAACGAACGAAGCACAAGACTAGTTGCTGATACCTGAGTTGCTACTGTAGATAAATTATATCGTCCAAGAGTCGACCGAAGGGGTGTCTTGTGACCATGACGAACCCTTCGACGATCAATTTGCCCTCCCTGCAGATCACTCTGCAAGTGCGTCTCTGCATAGTACCACTAGTCGATACATGTACACCGTGACGCCCCTGGAAGACAATCGAAGTCGTGCTAATTTCTACGTCAGAGTCGGCCACGAACTTAGCGTCATATTCTTGAACACCAAGGATGAGGCGTAGTCACAGCACAATGATCTGTACGTCTAAGAAAGCGTTGTCGAGTCCACCTTTTGGTATAACGGTTATGCACGGGCGGCAGTCTGATCAACCAAGTTATACCTAGTTGTTCATCGAACTCGTGCCTTTCGATAAGCAATCACAGCGGTATCATCAACTTTCTCTCGAATTTGAGCTTGTTAGATTAACTGATACTTTCGCTTGTTCGAATTCGCCATTTTTATCATGACCACAAGCATAATTTTGATACGGAAACTTTGAAATCCTGATGAATTTGTTATGATGCATCGCGCATACGGTAATTTATGCCTCGGCCTGTCATCGCAAGCTCTGAGGTACTAATATTTTATCTGACTTGTGGCACAAAGCATCGTGTCAAGTTATATCACACAGTGACAAGGTTGAAGTTTACAGGAAGATTTGATCTACCAGAGACAAATGGCCAATCCCAAACACATGTGCTGAGCAATATTAGGTCTGCGAGGGATACTGGCTATTCTGCATGCTGGTCCGATGCTATGAAGAAAATGCACCATTATCAAAGGCTCGCCTTATCATTGGACGAAGTTAGCTCACCTGCATCAACCGAAGGGCCTGGTCCATTTGCTCCTGTGTGAATTGACCACCGGGAAGCGTAGGAACCACCGGGAAATAATGAGCCTGCCGTGGAACAGTGTTTCCAGGCATCTGAGGAGGCTGCATGGATGGTTGCGGTTGCGCGGAGGGTGGTCGGGGAGAAGCAGCGTTGGATGGCGTGCCTATGTTACGCGGGGGAGTTGCTTGCGGTGCTACGCCAGGCGATGATGTTGCAGCCCGCGACTGATATGGAGGTGACAAGTGGGCACCAGCAGGAAGTCCATTAATGGCAGGAACAGGGCTAGCTTGTACTGGCGATTGAGCTTGGGATTGAGCTTGAGCTTGTGCCTGTGCGGCTGCGATGGCACGAGCTTGGGCGGCTTGAGCTTGAGCTTGCAACAAGTGCTGAGGAGATATACGAGCCCCCGCAACGGCCGCCGATGCCATTGGTGTTGGTATTCTCTGCTGCTGTGAAATATTGACCTGCGCCACGGGTTGAGTCCGTATTTGTGGGACAGCTTGTGCGGGCTGGGCTGCTGGTCTCGGTGTCCCATTTGGTTGCTGTTGCTGTTGCTGGGCTGCGGCTGCGGCTGCGGCTGCCGCCGCCTGCTGGGGTTGCTAGCAACTCGCCGTCAGAATAGCGCTTGAAAAAGATGACATCACATACACCAGCTGCGGCTGCGGCGGCTTGCAGCCTCGGGTCGCGCTGCATCATTGCCTGACGAGTGAGTTCCTCATGACGACGTCGCACAAGGAGTAGTTCTTGTTGCTCCCTCGACTCTTTCTCATACTTCATACGACTCAGTTCAGCTGGTGTCAGTTTAGGCATCTTCTGATACTGCCCATGTGTATCATGAACATTGGATGCCTTTCGCTGATTCACTGATGAATTGTCACGGACCTATAAGTGCTGGAGAACTGTAAACAACGAATATAGCTCACTGGACGCTTTTTGTGCTGCTTCGCGCTTCTTCGTGGCTTTGCGCATTGTCTCATACATAAATGTATGTCTCCGCCGTTTTTTGGTGTCGGATGTCAAGCCGGCTCCAGGACTTTGGTTCTGCGTAACTGACATACTAGCCAATCGCTTAACACCTCTCGTGGTCATCTGTCCTTGAGCTGACGTCGATGCTGGCGGCGGAGTGCGCTCTGTGTTAACAGGGGAATTGACATCAGGATGGACCCTGTGTCCGCTACCGAAGCGACTGCTCCAACGCTCGAAGCATTCCCACGGAGTTCGTTTATCGGTAGAAATAGTAACGCGTGAAGAGTTGTATGAATCCGCAACCAGCAACCAGTTATTGGGATATCTCTCCACGAGGGTTTTGAGAAGGGAGTCTTCATCTGAGCTCCAAAGATGATCCGAACGCTTCTTGCCGTCTTTCGATGGCAGTCCAACGGGACTGACTGCGGATGGTCTACTGCCCTCAAAAAGGTCTGCGGATAACATTGAGCACCACTGTCACTTTCTCACGGCGACTTACCTGAGGCAGTGTCATCTACAGTCTTCCCAATTGCGCCATCGAATTCCACAGTCACTGCTGCTTCTTCAGCGAACATCCACTCCCCGTTCACCCAATGCTTAGCAGGTTGCAAAGGCCCAAGGAGCGTCGGTTTGGAGTGCATAAAGCGACCCAACGGTGCCATCTTCGTGAACCCGGCATCCTCAACACGCCTATTGTCCTCTCCGGACTTCTTCTCCTTCTTCTTCCCATCGTTCGAGCCAGAAACAACATCTGGCATGCCAAGCGGTTGAAGATCGGGGAAAATGTCCGACAGATCAGCGATGGGCAGCGATGGCTCAATACCAGAGTCGTCTGTGGTCAGATCAGATAGTGCTTTGGTGAGGATAAGGTCGTCCCCGTCGAGGAAAAGCTTTCGCTCGTCCGAGTATGCTATCTGTTCTCTGAGCGGTGCATACAGACTCGCCTTGAACGCTTTGGATGATGATCCCATAGGAGCAGCATCTTGCTGCGTGTTTTGCTGCGAGGCAAGATTGGGGTCTGTTGAATGCGCCTTGAGACCAGTCTGATCATCGCTTTCGACCTTGGCCTGGTTCTCCTGTTGCGCGTCCACATTCATCACACTTGAGTCCTGCAGAGCTGACGGATCTTCAAAATCCTCAACTTTGGGTTGAACATGGTCAGGGCCTGGAGTCTGGTGCTGACTACTGTCTGTGGACTCGTTAGATCCTGTACCATCCAGTGCTTCTTCTAAAGCGTTGCGCGACTCTAGAGCGTCTGCGATATCTCTTTGCTCCGCCTCTCCCTCCTCTTCATCGCCATCAGACTCGTCTGCCATAGGGGTATACCCATTGTGCTCTGCAGGCCGCGAGTCCATGTCTACATCTTCCGCAGAAGAATTTTGAGAAGACCTGGGTCGCTTCCATAAAACACATATGCCAAGCCTAACCCTCTCCTGGCGACTTCCCGCATCATGCCACTCCAGTACAGCAGTCGACAGATTAAATGCGAGAACGTATTTCCAGCGTCGCTCTTCCCGAAAGTCAACACGCATCCATTTCTGACTAGAACGTGAGCCAGATGCACCACAGGAATCATAGAGATCATGCCATTTCGTCCATAAGATAATCCCAGTGGGTCTTGGTCATACCTCCAAGGTTCTTTTGCCTTTTGGGTTGCCTATAACTCCACTTTGCAACATTCTCGAGGCTTTCGACGCGTTCGAGGGTGCGCGTGAGCCTCGCCTCGGCAATGGCGACCTACATACTCATGAGTACTTCATCTAGAACAAATTTATGTCACATACACCCCAATCACGCGTGCTTAAGCACTTGGTGGCACGAGAGACCTTCTTCCAGACAGGGTTTGCACGGATGGTCGCACCCCACTTGGTCAGGCCCATGGGTATCCATTCATCCTTGATTTTTCCGTCTGCTTTGTCCCGTTCCTTGTCTCGCTTTTTCTGTTTGGCAGACTTACCCTTGCGAGAATATTCAGGAGGCAATGATTTGATCGGAGGTAGACTGTAGGCGGGATTGAAATGATGATGATGATGATGTTGTTGTTGTTGTTGATTTTGAAGTCGTGGCGCCTCTACAGGTGTTGAGGCAGCAGACGGTGTCTCCTCAGGCGCCTCGCTCTCCGCCTCATCGAAGCTGAACGCCGGATCAGTCACCGGAGACGTGGGGGTGGGAATGAGGAGGGAAGGCTGAATAGATGAGACGTCCACAGTGGTATGGACTATGGTGCGTGGGGTAATTTTTTGAACAGGAGAAGACGATGGAAGGACGAGATCAGGTGAAGGTTCTCTGGCTTCCTCCATGGATATGTCCATCCTTTCCTCCAAGTCGATGAGTACTTCCTGGACTTCACTCACCTCATCGAGGGCGGCATTTGCAGGTTGAGGGGAACGTGGCGAGAATGTACGAGACTTGGAGCGAGACGTACGATGGGTCAGGGATTGACTGCGACGACTGACTGATCGCTGAGACGGCGACTGCGAAAGGGCTACGAGATTCAGTTCATCTGGCTCATCGTCTGGTATTGGGCGTTTGTATGACATCGGAGTGGCGCGGGGGGGTGACCCTTCTGGTATCGATGTGGCCAAGGGATCATCGGATTCTGGAACTTGAAGTAATAAAGATGATTCGGAGCGAGGTGAAGCAGGAGGCTCTGACATGGGAGAATCTACATCGATGACATCAGGTAGGTCTATTAGTTTGAATTCATCGGCATTTGGAGATGATGAAGTGGCAGATAGTTCGCTCGGTAGAATATTTGACACCATGCCCGAATCGGGACTGGCGGGGATGAGCACGTTAACGAAAAAATTTGGTGAATGACACTACGAACTTTTTGTCAAGATCGTATTTATCTAACCAATCCTGAAGTCCATCTTCGTCCTCATTGTCGAACATGGATATGGAGCCTGCGTTTTGTCGTCTCCTCATCATGCGATACATTTCGCGAAGGAGTTCATTTCTGCGCTGTGAAATTACTCTGCACATATACTAGCGTGAACATTGTATGTGGATATTAAGTATAGTGCACTCACTCGAGCTGTGCCACACGTTCCTCCACAAGAGCTTCAATTGGCAGTGATGGCATACCACAGAGAGCACTGTCTACCACTCTAGTTTCCAAACACAGTTTACGTAAATTGCGGGCAGAAATTGTTTCAGATATGAAAGCCCTAATGTTACTGGTGGTGTTTTCTGGGATGTTGAACGTGTCTCAAGAGTGTGATTTCTTTAGTGAATTCTCCGGCGTCAATATGATGATCTTGGGAGGAGAGAATGATTCAATCAAGATCAACGAGACTGAGGAAAGCTTGGGGGTCAAGAACTCCCACGAACTGAATACCGTGTCATCAAGAGATTAATTATTAAATCGGCTCACAGTTTGCTCACCGTCGTACGTTTCGTCGACCATCCTCACGATGCGGCCTGCTCGTCAAGCATTGATCCTTGCTCGCTCTTTGTCGCGAGCTCAGCGTAGAAGTTTGTCTGCTTCACTTCTGGCAAAACTAATAAATAACTGTTCTTCTTAGCTCTGCACCAGACGAAGGTCCGGCATGCTATCACCAACCTGGAAATGCCAGCCATGTCGCCGACTATGACAGAAGGTGGCATTTCCTCATGGAAGAAGAGGGAAGGCGAGTCCTTCTCTGCGGGAGACGTCCTACTGGAAATTGTATGAACTTCACGTGTTTCCATTTGCACACGAACTTGATAGACTCAACAGGAAACGGACAAGGCAACTATTGACGTCGAGGCGCAGGATGATGGTATCTTGGGTAAAATTATCGTCTGTCTCATCACTCCACAGAGATAACAAGTACTGAATGCAATACAGGCGCAAGACGGTAGCAAGAACGTTCAAGTTGGCAAAATCATTGCCCTCCTTGCTGAGGAAGGAGATGACATTTCGAACCTCGAGGCACCCAAGGAGGAGTCCAAGCCAGCACCTTCTCCGCAACCCGAAACTCAGGCAACTCCGCCCCCACCTCCGGCACCAGCACCTCAACCTACAGCTTCCAAAGTGTCGCACCACCCGAAACACTCGAAGCACTTACTGCCATCTGTGATACGCCTTCTCATTGAAGGCAACGTTGTTGATGCAGAAGCTATCCCAGGCACGGGTGTTCGCGGCATGCTTACCAAGGGCGATGTACTTGCATACCTCGGGAGAGCGTCGAGTCCGATGGGAACATTCAAGGAAGCGAAGAAGGAAGTTTCAGAGCCGAAAAGGGTCGAGGAAGTTAAGGTATGCCGCATTGCACGAGCTTGATCTTACAATTGTTCATATCTTCACTTAGCCATTGGACGGCGCTGCCATCCGCCAACTTATTGTCTCTGGCCTAGCCGCCAAAATGAAACCTGCACCTGGTGAGTCATCCTTCTGTAAATCATGCTGTAAGGTATTTGACACTCTAGCTAGCACCTACAACACCAGCGACCTTCGACGCCATCATCGCCGACTACCTCCCTCCTTCATTCTCCTCACCTAAGGCTGCACCAATACCCATATCATCAACGAAGGTACAAGACAGCTCTGCCAAGTACTTCGATGGGTTACTTTAAATGTTATATTGTCGCACTTGTTGCGTAGACGTTATTTAGATTTCTGGGTATCGATACTCATTTCATAACACCGATGTGAAATCTGCCATAGGTCATGTTATTTGTCTATGAAATTTTTGAAGCACCGGTCCAGCCGAGATACAGATCACACCACCTTACTTCCTTCTGTGTTGGGAATCCAATAGCTCGTTACAATCTCCAGTAACACCAGCCGGGCACACATTTTACTGAGCAACATCATCATCCAAAGCAAGACACTGATCTGATCAGCCTCGGCCTTCGCAACTAAAAAAAAATCTCACTCGAAACTCGATGAACGAATCTGACATCCCACCCCGCGGCCTCGGCACGGGTACCAAGAACTGTAAACTCAACAAACCCTCCTGTTCAAGGCGAAGAGAGGTCTTTGTTGAGTTCTGCAAAGCTCGCAGCGTGCGTGATATATGTGCATATCGATAGCTAATATCGAGTATCTCAGTCATTTCTGAGTACCTGCACCATAACGAATAACAATACCTGAAGCAGACACTACGCGAACACTCGAATGTTTCTAGTACCTCTCTGTCGTTCGGATAGTCCATCTCCAGTAGATTGGAACCTGAATTTTGTACAAAGTTAGAAACTCACCTCAGTGCTGCCAAATGCTCCCGTTCCCTGTATTCGAAAGAGGGGTTTAGCGGGAACGCCTCTTTGCATGCTCTGGACATCTGCAACAGGGTTGGCAATCAACGTTATTTTATCGCAAGACGGATCAAGCTCTGAAAGAGCATCGCGGAGCCAGAATGATGACTTGTCACCGTGTGAGCTGCGTCACAAGCTCGATGTCCGTCAAACAGACCTTGAAAATGATCTTGAGGGCACTAATTAAGGTATGAGGCAGAATGAGAAAGAATTTGAGGAGGCACCCAACGTACGTCTGTTCAGCATCGAATGGGAGCTCCAGGTTCGGCTCAGAATCGAAAGTCGATATCTCACACGTCGTCGTGGGTCCTGATGAGTCTTCCGCACTGCAACATATCTGTATAATCGAAGGTGCCAAGAAATCTAAGGCTTACAGAACAAGCGTCAAGGGGTATCCTGGCCCCGCGTATGTGAGACGCATGCTCGTCCTCTTCTCGTTACCGCCGAAGTGCTGATCGATACGATTTACATTAGGACGGCGCCCATCGTCGCCCCTCTCGTCGTCTGAGGCATCATCGGCTCGCCGCCACTGCTTGTGCTTTGAGCCTGTGCTGCTTGAAGAAGACATGTTCGCGGTTCCAAAAATGTTCAGGCATTCAAGTAAGGTATTCAAAGGGATTTCAAATGATGTAGCATGCCGATCGAAATCAGGTGCAGACAACTGGGATGGAGCAGCCTGTGGATTGTCGACATCGAACGCCCACTCGTCAAAATGGTCCGCATAGATGTATGACGTTGCTGTGGACCGTTGTACAGATGTTTGCGGATATAGACTGATACGTACCGAGCAATGTTCGCGCTTCCTCGACAGTGACAGTTATCCCACTGCCGGCTGTAAATCTCATAGATGCTTGCTTGAACCATATTTTTCAGCGATCAATGACAGTTCAAAGTAGTGCGCTCACGTTTGAAAATCCAATTCCGCGTAGGAGGGAGGCGAAATATCGAACATCGTGTACAGATGCTGTTAGAAGCTGGAGCTCTTCTTAGCTGGGAGTACGCTCCAGGAGATAGATGAATGTCGTACAGGTTTGGCCTTATCTGATTGACTTGGCTCAGGCTGGGACATCAATTGTGACATTCTTTAGAGGCTCCTTAGACAAAGGAACTCCAAGAGTGTCGTTTACGGCGTTTCCCGCGGTACAGGTAGTAGTGGTTGTGTGCTATTAAATACATAATAATTCGTATATGAGCTGGTGCTCGAAAGTTGTTTGAAAGCCTTGCTACGTGTCGATCACTGCGAGGGTGTTGTCAGCCTCGTGTCGGACTTTGGGTAAGGTTTTATGTTGGTACGAGCGACGCATCATGTCAAGCTGAGATGCCAACTCTAAGTCCGTTCCGTCCACAAAATGCTATTCAGTCACAGTCTTTCTGGTCCACTGCTGAGGCTGATCTTCACCAGGTTCAGTGCTTTGTTTGTACTGTCTATTGCATATACGATTACGAAGCGAAAGCCAAGGACGACACCATTCTCCACGTTAAAATGTATCCGAAACTGCCAATAATATAAGTTTAAGTGTGGTGCCACATTCAAGCGAGCATCAGTGAAGTCTCTGAAGGCAGACCATGATGTGAAGGAGATACCCTTTCAACACGTGGATGGTAAATCGCTCGATCCAGATCGGTGTGGTGAACTGACGAATGACACGCAGCTATATGTTACCTTGCACAAAGTGACAAATTCCCAGCATGCAAGCACTTGCAGTCCTTACACTAGCGTTCCACTGGGAGTAATTATATGCATAATGAGTATAGACCTAAGCTTTGAGCTGAGCGCGCAAGTTCTGCTCCAAGGGGCCTCTAGCACGAATAAACTGAACATAAGCTCCATCCCTGCACAACAGAGTGTCAATCTGAAAATTCGCCAAGCAGCCCGAAATGATACGCACTGCAACACTCTCTTCTCCTCCTTCAACTTCATGTAGTCTTCACGAGCCACATTTGTGAAGCCCCACTTCTTCGAGACAATGATTTTCTGACGGCCGGGGAATTTGTACCGTGCACGGCGGAGAGCCTCTTGGATGACAGCAGCATTTGATTCCTTGCAACGGATAGAGAGGATGATCTGGCCGATGTTGACACGGGCGACAGTGCCGTAGGGTTTACCCCAAGCACCACGCATACCGGTTTGTAGCCTGCACGAAAAAATCTAGGACTCACACCACGAATTCAAAGCAAAGTCACTGACCGATCAGCGCCGGCACAACTCAACATCTTGTTGATGCGAATGACGTGAAATGGGTGCACACGGACGCGCATGTGGAACGAATCCTTGCCAGATGTCTTGGTGACGTACTTGTTGGCGCAAATACGAGCTGCCTCGAGCGCCTCAGAGCTCAACTGCTCATATTCATCAGAGACAAGATGACAGCAGAAGGGGAACTCGTCGACAGAGGCACGTTTACGGCCGAGGTCAAAGATCCTGATCTGCGGAGAGGTGAGGATTTGAGCGACGAGTCGTGAGCGAACAAACTTTAGGATCAGGGACACCACGGTTGTACCGTGATTTTGGGTAGGGCTTGTTCTTGCAGTAACGGTAGCAGCGGGCGGGACGACGACCCATTGTTGTGATCTGGAGTTGAAATCAGTGCCCGTATTACAGAATCACATCCAAAGTAATCGGATAGCATCCACCCCGACCACTCAAATTCCACCAATCCTTCCAGTTTGAATCACATCCAACCAGTCGTGCTAAGACGAATATGCGGAACAGCAACACTTACATGCTACACGGGTGTCTTGACGGTGAGTGGGAAGGTGCTGTAGTGCCAGAGGAGCCCGTTCCGCAATATCTTAGATAATCAAGCTGACTTTGAACTATCTAACTTAGTTACTAAGGAAATATTTATAATACAAATTTGGTAAACAGAAGTTTGTCATTGGTTTGTCACCCACATGCAACCTAATTTTATACGTGTAGTGAGTGTTTTACTCTTAAGTCAACGATGGATCATCATACTGCTATATACGTCGAATCTGCGGCATGCGGTACGGACATGGTAAAATCCAAAAGAAACTTAGTCAGTGATGTAAACTGGCGGGCAGGGTGACATGATTCACATGAAGCCCGTTGGAATGCTCCGACTGTTTGCCAACGAGCGCTGAACTTTCTTAAAGGCCTAGTTGGATACTCAGAACCGTGTTCAAACTCGAGCTTTTCGTCTCTGACATGAACACGTACAGAGAGGCATCGTGTACAAACTTGGTCGTTGGGACAGCATCTCACGAGAAAATTCCTCATCTCTGATATGAGGGAATTGAACTCGGGCCCCGAGGACGAGCCCGCAAGCTCAAGCTCGAACCACGCGTGTTGGGGCTGTAAAAAATATCAGCGCTGTGCGCCACTGCCGCTCCGGGTATATGCAGAACCGCCATACTCACATCATGTCATTAGGTACAGTGGTCAGGCTGATGCATATTCCGTTCCGAGCCTGTCAATATATGGATCAGGCCCTAATCAGTGAACGTTTTTATCTAATCTTCATGCTGTTCAAGTGAGTGCCGTGATGCTTATAAGACAATTTGGGCCACGACTACGGGTGAGTGCTGGGTACTCAATTTGTTTGAAGCGCCTCGAGTTTACCCGTTCCCATCAGTTTGTATACACGCTCTTATCACCTTCTGACTTGACGAGAATGGGTATATATACAGTCGCTATTGTCAATTGCCCTAGCCCATATGTCGTCTGAATCTGAGCCTCGAATGCTTCATGTGTCCCCCCAACAGGACAAGGAGGGCTCAGAGACATTGGAAGAATCCCAATCTGCCAAAGATTCCAACCTTTTCTCACACCCGCATGAATTTCCAGAAGGTGGTCTGGCTGCTTGGGCGACAACCTTTGGAGCGTAAGAAGCTCACATCTGGGCGGTAAAAACTGGACCTTACTTGATCTGCTTAGGTTTCTTATGCAGTTATGCGGGATTGGGTGAGTCTAGTGCCACCTGTTGTTGACAAAGAATGGCTCTTGACTGAAGGTTAAAGTTATTCCACTTCATTTGGTGTCTACCAAGGTATTGCTGTATGTGAAAGTGAGAATGCAATATCATGCTTATTACCCTCCAGACTTCTATACCCAGCATTACCTCACAAACCAGACGTCGTCTGCCATATCGTGAGTTTTCATTTGTATCTTCATGACGGATATGCTCAAGGCCTCCTAAAGATGGATCGGGAGCCTGAACACATTTTTAGTCACCGCTGTGGGCCTGATATCAGGTCCACTATATGACCGAGGATATTTGTAGGTAAACCTTTACAGGAGGTTTTTGAGGATACTCAGCAAACTTATCTAGCTACCATCTTGTAATTGCTGGATCGCTTCTGCAGAGTTTCTCTCTTTTCATGTTGTCTTTGTCAAAACCCGATCAGTACTATCAGGTAACGTCTCCTAAATTTACGACCTCTTTCTGATTTGGTGCAGATATTCCTTGCTCAAGGTGTAGGCATGGGTATCGGGTCGGGGCTCGTGTATGTCCCAAGTATAGCTGTTGTTTCGCATTATTTTCGACGGAGACGTACCCTAGCTATGACGTTCGTCGCATCGGGCTCGTCGCTGGGTGCTGTCGTCCATCCGATTATGCTCAATAACATCCTGAATGGTCATCTTAGTTTTGGAAATAGCGTCCGTGCAAGTGCAGGGCTTGTCAGCATACTACTCCTGATTGCATGTCTATGCATGCGAACTCGTCTTGATCCGCCGACGACACCAACAAACTATATTGTGGCAGCCAAAAAATCCATTCGTGATGCACCATTTATTTTCATGATAGCAGGGTGAGACCTCAACACAACTTCTCTCAAAATCCTTAAAATGACGATTCTACAGGGGCTTTTTTTTTCAGACTGGCTTCTACTACCCGTTATTCTTCATTCAACTCGACTCTATCAAGCACGGTCTCAGTGTCACTTTCTCATTTTACTCTGTGGGATACAGCGCTATGCAAATTTAATTGCCTGCTGACAGCATACTAGTTGGTGATTTTGAACGTGTCCAATTGTGTGGCACGGGTCACGTCAGGCTTCATCGCCGCGTTCACGGGAGTCCCAAACTTGGTCATAGTTGCGACAATCTCTGGAGGTGTGCTTATTTTGAGCATGATCGGATTGAGTAGCCTTGCCAGCGTCGTTGTACTTGGTATGATGTATGGCTATTTTGCAGGGTTGTGTAAGTAACTTTCTTTTCCACTAGGTGTGATGTGTTGATCGATAATGCAGACATTGCAATGATGGCTCCGCTTGTGGCTACTTTAACGCCCGACTTCTCTGAGCTTGGGTAAGGGACAGTTTGAGATCGGATGCACATACGAACCATCTAATTTAGATCATAGCGCACGCATGGGCATCGCTTTCTTCATTAGCGGTGGGTAGTATCAGCTACACTTTTATCTCGTTTAAATCTCCCATGTAATCACTACAGGATTTGGAGCCTTGATCGGTAGGCGCCTTTGTGCCATTTCTTGCCTCTAATTCTCACTCTGTAATAGGAACACCCATATCTGGCGCTCTGCTGACATCGAATTATACTTGGTGGATACCGGCCGTGTTCTCCGGGGTGAGTTGACCATAACTACCATTTTCTCCGGTATTCACGTCAACTCGACAACAGGTTGCTTCAGTGATTGGTGGTATAATGTATACGATTATGCGGTTTATATTTGTCAGAAGGCAGATGAACGATAAAACATAACCCTCAACCTGAGATAATAGACATTGTAAGCTTTCCCTGAGAGGAACTGTGATTTTGTTCGTTTGCCTATGTCTGACTGCATTTTTCGGCACCGAGTTGTTCCATGGTTTTTACGTGGATGCAGGTGCTGTGTGATGAGCTCGGTTTGACCGATGACCGTGTTTGCACAAGCTCTGCGACCGCTCGATCGCCATGTTTGACTGAGGGGGCCTTGTGAATATTGTTGAGACTCCGAGATGTTTTGAATTACACGGCGCATGCTACCAATTCCGAAAGATTAGCCTCCAGACCTTCATCGCATCTACGCCAGTGTTGTTATATCGCATCTACTAAAACTTTGTTCTGGTGTCGAAAACGAGAAGCATGGGCCAATTGAGTCAAATGCCATGTTGTTTGTATTTGTATATGTGCGCAAAGCAGTGCCGTTGTTTTGCAAGAGCCCTGGAAATAAACAACGCCTGTACCTCCGACGCGTTACTTGCATCACCACCGATTTGACGACCCGAATAATCACGCCAATCTGCGCGAAAATTTTATCCAATATCTCATCACCAGTGGTGCCGCGTCCCGCTTCAACGCCACGTCGATGCAAGTAATATGAGTCGTGAGTGCATGAGTACTCATTTTCATGATACTAATTCCATCAGCTCTAATTAGCACTTACTATTCAGTTTATGTCTCTCTTGGTCATTTGTTGAATGAGTAATTGTGGTATACAAAGCCATTTTCGTTTTGTGAGTTCTTGTATCCGCCAACGTAGGTATTTCCAACATCATGGCTTGATCATGGCTAATTATCCCACACGCAAAATTGACACCAACGATGTCTCTGCCATTGGCTTTGGTGCTATGGGCATATCAGCCTATCATGGTTAGACTGGTTCAGATGAGGAATGCTTCAAGGTGAAGCATGAGCACCCTGCAGCCTGTGCGTCACATTAATTCATGACTGCCCCTTTCAATGGGTTCTGAATAAACTGTATGAGCATAGTTGCACTTTCTGGAATATTTCTAACATCTATAGAGACAGCAAAGAGCTCATTGGCAAATGGTGAGTCTTACTCGAGGAGAACTTCGGGGCTGCCATGATTTGCGCGTCTAAAAACGGCGGACTGGTGGCGCACGTCCCACACTAGGGCATTCGCGATTTCAAAGATGCGATCAGGACATTGGTGGGTCCTTAGACTAGAACGCACTGTCCTACATATAGTACCGCTCTGCAAAGGATATAAATTAGAAATAAATAAGATAAAAATGAAATAAAAATTTTGCTGCTATCAGTGTGTTGTTGAGTCCTGAATCAGTCAAGAAAGTGCATGTCGTTGCGGAGAAGGCTGATCGGGTGGCTGGGGATCGCTATCCTCCAGCGGATTTGAAGGTACTGTATGCAGAAACTCCACTTCCGAAAAGCACCTGAACTGTGCTACGAATCTGAGCCCCATTCTCAATGATTGCAACTGTACCTGTTGACGGCAAACTTTGTACATCAAGTAATTCCACCGATACTCGGTGCCGAATGTCTGACTAATGCAGATTGTACGACGCTGCATGCAGATTTTGTCCAGATACTATGCCATATACCGAATCTTCACAAGAGAACCATAAGTCAGAATGACATCTAGACTTCCTCCCGGGATCGAAGGAAACCTCATAGAATATGTTCAAGGGGGAGTGGGTGACTGGTTGTCATTCGACCACAAGCGGTTCTATACCAACGCGTTCATCATTCAGGGCGATAAGGTGTGTACTAGCGTTAAACAGTCCACCCATCCAAGGGGAACGCCCAGCTTCTCAGATTCTCCTCGGTTTGAAAAAACGTGGATTTGGCATCAACAAGTAAGCAAGCTTCCAAGTATCAGTCGCAATTGCGGAGTGTGATTTTGGAACCCACAATAACAGGTACAATGGGTTTGGTGGCAAGGTGGAACCAGGAGAAACGCTCACTGAAGCTGCGATACGCGAACTTAAAGTTTTTCAACTTCATTTCTATAAAACAAGTGCCAGATATTGATGTACGATTCAGGAAGAAGCCGACATCGATGCGCCCCTCGAGCACGCAGGATCACTGTTGTTCGTGACGAACGCCGTTGTATGGGCTTTCCAGATCGAGATATTTTCTGCTCGTTCGTACTCAGGAACACCTACAGAGTAGGTCTTTTTTGGTTGCGCAACGGCGGGTTTTGTTGAATTCAGGACTGGCCCCAGGTCAGACGAGATGCGACCGAAGTGGTTCTCATTTGCGTCACCCGCTACATGTGATGCAGACGCAATAGTACCACCTATCCCGTATGAAATGATGTGGGATGGTGATGCTCACTGGCTGCCCCTCCTAGCACAAGGGCGCAAATTTGTTGGCCGTATTGATTCTGTAACGCAAAACGATGGTGAATTTGCGATGACAAGGCACTGGTTTGGCACTGTTATTTAAGATAACTAAATGGATTTACACTACCAGTTGTAAGGGATGTCACTCTACTAGCCACGGACACCAGCTATATGGAATTCCCTTTGTACCGGTTCGAAGTACTACTTATGGAACTCCCTTTGTGCTCACTTATATATAAATAGTCGGTCCCTACTTTCTATAGCTCCAGTGAATAAACTCCCCCTCACTCATTCTCTCTTGGTCCGAATCATTCCCCGTCGAACTCAATCAACCAGCCTTACACAGTGTCTACAAAGAAATTACAGTACATCCAGTCACTTACCAATTCAAACTTGGGCATGCTAAAGAGCAGCTGATCACCGATCATCTTCTAGATAACCACATTTGAGCTATAATGCATTACTATTGGCAACAGGACACCGGGAAAACACACAAGTATTATAGTTGTTCAGAGACACGAGCGTAAGGTAACAGCAAAGTGTTGGACGTGAAATACAGTTAAACATTACAACTTAAGTCCGATGGATCTATATCTCGGCGTCGCCTGCATCGTCTAGTAAACATCTAAGTTTGATAAAGACATCGCTGCCTACAAAAATATCAGCAAGTCCGAAACGACGCATGAATACTTGGTCGAGCTCACCCCACCCGTCAAGCGAAAATAAATCCAATGAACCACCGAAATATCTAAACAGTCAATATGAGGCTAGACATGGATAAAAAACGAAGGCAAACACACTTTGCGTATAACCTACTCAGAGGGAGCCCATACCCTAGACCTGCAATTGTTCCAAGGCCCACTTGGACACCCTTCTCTGTGATCTCGCTAAAAAGGTTCCCGCATTCCCCTGCACTGCCACTCCCAATGGCTGCGCTCCCGCCAATATGCTGGGCGGCGTATGGTCCACCGTCTCCGTTTTGGTCATCGGCATACCCCGCGGTAGTGAAAGCATATGAGAATATACGAGCCATGTTGGACGCTGAGACGCCACCACCCTGGTCGCGAATTCGAATTGATAGGAATGGATGGGATGAAGTAGGGGGTGAGATGGTGATTTGTACGGGTGGTAGGGGGTGGGATGAAGCGAGGCCATGAAGCTTGTGGTGGTGCTCTACAGTAGCGCGAAACGCGTTCTTGAGCATTTCAGTGAGGATATATTCAAGATGCACAGGGACATAGCTAAGTGGAGGAAGATTATGCTGATAGGTTCTGTTGTACATATTTTGGACTTACGTGAATGTAGCTTCTGGACATCCGTCAATCGTAATGTTGGGGCTTGTGCCAAGGGTCGCCTCGCATAATTCGCTAACGAATGCGCCACATATGCGGACCATAACCGCGGGGGAGCACTTTGGATCAATGACACCATTGTGCATGAGCACGCTAGTCTCGGCGGCGCCGGGATCCGTAGCAAGTGCATGTGAGAGCGCGATATGTTGTTCAGCAATCAGGCGTACAGAGATACGAGATCTGATAGCACCATCGAGGAAGTTAGATATTTGAGTCGGAGACATGTATCGCGAGCACTCTTGGAATCTGAAAGTTGTTGAAGTCAGGTTAATTCAGAGTCAAGTACAAGGGTCAGCGCACCCCTTGGCCATGGTTGGTATATCGTTTCCATGTCTCTGCACGAGTATATCTAGTTCATCGACAAAGTGTTTATTGTCCTCGAGTGTGCGCACTTCAGGATAAGTGGCGAGTAATTTGAAGCTGTCTCTGTGACCGTTGAGAGTTCGTGCAATGTATGGATTAGTGCCGACAATGAATGGCAACCCCTCCAGGGCGCGGACACGCTGGGCCATACGTCTTGGTATCTCCGAGAGTACGTACGTGACTGAACGCAGCACAGATACAGGTGTTAAAGGGTTACCGAAGGACATGAGGGTCGAGAGCGTTAGAGGAAGTGGCGGATGTGCCGCGAATGAGTCGAGAAGTCGAGCAGATTCAGCAGACGGTGGCAACGGTGCACGACGAACATGGTACCGCCGCCGTTGGACGGTACGCGCTGTGAGGGCGCGCACGGGAAGACTTATCATCATCATGGATTGTACGGAACTAGTTCAAACTCTCAAGTCTCCCCTGAGTAGTAGCAGTTCCTTGATACTGATGGTTGGTGCAGGCTAACAAGCATGGCATTACCGGACACCCGGATTATGGCATCCTGAATCTAGCTCCCCCCTGAACCAACCACCAACCATCAGCAAGGCATCATATCTAATGCACACAAGGGATCCTCTGCACAAGATGGGTCCCTTTGGAGAGAGTATAGGCATGAGGCGGGCTCAAAATCAGTAAAAGATCACTGGGAAATAGCTATAGTATGAGTTAATATGAAAGTGAGACTTAGTTAAGTGTGCTCAGTGCTGCAAAGTCCTTGTCCACAACAGAATACTCAAGCGGTCCATGAAAATGCGTGATTTGGAAGAATAATACATGCAAACTTAAAGTCAAATAGTCTAGTTGTACACTTGATACAGTGGTCTGCGGTGGAAAATGCGGTGAGATTTCTTCCGAAAAATATGAATAATGAATGGCTTACGTTGACGAGAACTTCGTCCCTTGCCGCACGACCTTCTCTACTGCGTCGAGGAAGTCGCGCTCCGTGGCGACTTTCCGCCGGGCACGAATAGCAAACATGCCAGCCTGGACAGGATACAATCACAATATGTTTAGTGCCAAAGATAGGCAATTCTCACCTCAGTTGCAACTGACCGAAGCTCAGCACCCGTCGTATTGGGACATAACCGAGCAATAAGATCGAATCGAATGTCACGCTCAACACTCATACTGAAGAGAGTCATCAGCTAGGCCGATAAGTGTAGACATTTAGGTTCTAACCTCCGAGCATGAATCTTGAGAATATGAGCCCTGCCCTCATTATCAGGCAGTGAGAACTCAACCCGCCGATCAAGTCGACCGGGACGCAACAATGCAGGGTCAAGAGTATCTGGTCGATTTGTGGCCATGAGCACCTTGATATTACCTCGAGGGTCAAATCCATCCAGCTGGTTAATCAGTTCCAACATCGTGCGCTGCACTTCATTGTCACCACCAGCGCCATCGTCAAATCGCGCCCCACCGATAGCGTCGACTTCGTCAAAGAAAATAATGCAAGCCTTCTTTGAACGTGCCATCTCAAACAACTCGCGCACCATTCGTGCACCTTCGCCGACATACTTTTGCACAAGCTCAGAGCCAATGACGCGGATGAAGGTGGCATCTGTACGATTGGCGACTGCACGTGCACAGAGAGTTTTGCCGGTTCCGGGTGGCCCAAAGAGAAGGACGCCCTTTGGGGGATCAATACCGAGCTTGACAAAGCGCTCAGGCTTGGACAATGTCAGTAATTTAGCATCTTCGATCACAAGAATGACTCACTGATAGTAGCGGCGTCTCAACGACTTCACGCAGCTTCTCTATTTGTTCTTTGCATCCACCAACGTCCGAGTACGTGACGTCGGGCTTCTCTTCAACCTGCATCATCGTCACCGAAGCATCGATCTTAGGTGGCAGTGGGATCTGGATCTGATATTTATTCCGGTCCACACTGTTGAAATGTTAATGCACCAGAGTTTTATGCAAGTAATTCTACACACCCCACGCGCATACCCTCTTCGATATCTGTCGGTGCGACCCGATCACCGAGACCAACGACAAATTTAGCAATCTGTTTGATGTTAATGACGTATTTGTCCTGCTCGTCGGCCCCCTTCTGGCCTTGAGCAGCACCGACGGGGTTGACGGCGCGTGCAACCTCAGCTTTCTTGGGATCAACAGGAATAATTTTAGTACACCGCGCAACCTGTAGTGGATGGGCTCCCATGCGTTGTCGGTCAACTGGAAGATCCCAGAGATTTGGCGGAGCGAGGCCTGTGTCAGACTCCTTCACGCCTGCATTGAGATAAGTTTATGAACAGCACAAACAGTGTTGTGCGCACCAAGCTTTTCATCTATCCGTTTCTGAACTTCCTTGATGTCGTGTTCTGTCTTCTTCAACTTTGCGGCGTATGCGCCTTGGCCCTGTAGGGAATGTATTGTTGAGCGGACGGAGCGTATAGATATTGTACTTACATAGGTTTTGAGGATTTGGATATCACTAGTTGTAAGAGCTAAAAGGTGTTGGAGCAGAATAAATGCAAGGGATACGATTTACACACCTTGAATCTTCTCCTCCTTGTCGTCGCCCTTCTTCTCGTCTGCAGGAAATCAATGACAGCACAAGGGGTCAAGCTGTACATACATTTCTCCCAATCACTGCATAAATATCGTCAGCATAGATAGAAAAGGCGTGCTGAACAGACTTGCGCTTTTGGAGGCATCGTGTGGGATGGTGAAAGAAGTGTTGTGGACGGAGAGAATGGCGAGCAAGTACAGACTGCTTATGCTATGGGACGCGTCACTGCACTGGTGAACGCGCCCCGGCAACTACCGGTGATATTCACACTCCGCTTTGGGCATGCTGCCGGTAAGCTCGACTCAACACTTGTAGTTGTGTACGATGGCAGGTGCTCTCCAGAACGCAAAGCGCGACCTCCCAAAAATCCAAGATGAAGACCGCGAATCTCGCTTTGGTCACGTGTACGGCGTTTCAGGGCCTGTTGTCATCGCAGAGAACATGACTGGAGCTGCAATGTACGAGCTTGTTCGCGTCGGCCACGACGAGCTCGTCGGAGGTGCGCAGCCTTCGTACTGGAACGAAGCGAGACTCATTAGGTGTAGAGGTCATTCGAATAGAGGCAGATAAAGTAACGATTCAGGTGTACGAGGAGACGTCTGGTGTGACTGTCGGCGATCCTGTATTAAGGACAGGCAAACCCCTTAGTGTTGAGTTGGGCCCAGGTGTGTTCCTCGAATGATGTGCCATAAATTGTACTTCCTCAGCTTTCCCTAGGTCTGATGGGTAACATTGTCGATGGTATTCAGAGGCCACTTCGAGTAAGTGTTCATTCCAGCCGCGGAGATAATCTTATTTAATGGAACAGTCCATCCAAGAACTGTCCAAATCAATCTACATCCCTCGCGGCATCAACACAGAGGCACTGGATCGCTCGATATCCTGGGACTTTACCCCTGCCACATATAAGGTGATTCGACACTGATTCGGCACTAGTAATGTACTGATTGATCTGCATAAGGTCGGCGACCACATATCAGGCGGTGATATCTTTGGCGGTGTCTACGAGAACTCGCTCGTTGACAACCACAAGATCATGCTTCCTCCTCGTGCTCTCGGTACCATCACCCGCATCGCGGAAAGGGGCAGCTATACAGTCGATGTGCGTCCGCAGCACAATTACATTCATAAGCTCTGTACCTGATTTTCTTCATTAGGACATCGTGTTAGAAACCGAGTTTGAGGGTCGGACAACAAAGCACACCATGATGCAGTTGTGGCCAGTTCGTGCACCTCGACCCGTTGCCGAGAAACAAACCGCCGATTTCCCCTTGTTGACTGGTCAGCGCATCCTGGACGCACTTTTTCCGTGTGTATGTTTCACCATCAATGATTTACCGCTGACCAGCACATAGATGCGTGCAAGGTGGCACTACTGCCATCCCCGGTGCTTTCGGTTGCGGAAAGACTGTCATCTCGCAAGCGCTCTCCAAGTTCTCAAATAGCGACATCATCATCTATGTCGGATGTGGTGAGCGAGGAAATGAGGTGCGTTAACTGAGATGTCTCAAATTACTTCATTCCTCATATACCATTTTTAGATGGCTGAAGTGTTGATGGAGGTGATATCACTGCCTATCCGTACAACATAAGCACACGCTGACGTCTTTTAGTTCCCTGAACTTACAATGGAGATTGGCTCTCGCCAAGAACCCATTATGAAGCGTACCACGCTCGTTGCTAACACTTCCAATATGCCAGTTGCAGCTCGCGAGGCCTCGATTTACACCGGCATCACACTCTCGGAATACTTCCGGGATCAGGGTTCGAATGTCGCGATGATGGCAGATTCAACATCGCGTTGGGCTGAGGCGCTACGTGAGATTTCGGGTCGTCTGGCAGAGATGCCGGCTGATTCAGGATATCCTGCATATCTGGGGACCAAGCTGGCGAGCTTTTACGAGCGCGCCGGGAAAGTGAAGTGTTTGGGTAGTCCAGTGAGGCAAGGAACAGTGTCGATTGTGGGGGCGTAGGTAGGAATTACTTTTGTGTGGACATTATTCTCACCACATTCCAGTGTGTCACCTCCGGGCGGTGACTTCTCGGATCCTGTCACATCCGCTACACTTGGTATCGTGCAGGTCTTCTGGGGCCTCGACAAGAAGCTCGCACAGCGCAAGCATTTCCCGTCCGTTAACTGGAACTTGTCGTACTCCAAGTACACGAAAGTGCTTGAGCCTTACTATGAGTCCAACTCACCAGGCTTTGTCTCTTTACGCATGAAAACGAAGGAGATCCTGCAGAAGGAGGAGGATCTCGCTGAGATCGTGCAACTTGTAGGGAAAAGCGCGCTTGGAGAATCGGACAAAATTACGCTGGAGGTTGCACGGATGCTCAAGGACGACTTCCTGCAACAGAACGGCATGAGCGAGTACGACCGCTACTGTCCATTCTACAAGACTGCGGGGATGTTGAAGAATTTTGTGGCGTTCCACGATTCGGCGCTGAGAGCTGTAGCGCAAGGCGATCTGACGTTTGCGAGAATCAAGGATACTGCGAGTGATCTCATGTTTAAACTCTCTCAGATGAAATTCGAGGTACGTGTCTGTCATTCTCCTGTGATTTCTTTTCTTCATCGAGTTTGTCTGTCAGTCACCCTCGCAAGGACAGGAGCACATCATGCTGAAGCTGGACGCGCTGCACACGGAAATCCAGGACAAATTCCGCCAAATGGTAGAGTAGATCGAATATGCTCGCGGTCTCACGTTGTCGTAACACTTTGTAGCTTATAGCATAATACCAGTTATCACTTTGCACTCTGCACTGCAGCGCGTACACGTAGAAAGTTCTGCGGGCGGGCGCACTGTCTCCTCGTTTTCAGGGTCGTTGTATTGTGTAATGCGCAGTTGATGCCGCGCTCATGCTGCGGAGAGCATTTAGGGGTAATATAAGACTCTTAGCCCCACTTATTGCACCTCTACCATTGATCCTACTGATACATCAGAAGTAGGCGCAAGTCATTATGAGAATTCATAATCTTGTCCCGATACTCTGCGTTGGAGGCGCGTATGCTCTTCCTACGCTTTCTTGGCTTCCGCAATTTCCTTCCGAGGGATTGGTTCGCTGCTGGGGCATATTTGCGCCCCTTTCAGAGGATAGGACGATTTACCAGGTTTTGAAAGACGACGAAAGGTCACTCATCATTGCATCGGGTCTGACATATTCTAATGGCTTAGCAGGTACTCGCGTTTAGTCAAAGCCATCAATTTAAGCGACAGGATCATCGACCTTTTGGACGACCCTGCAGCCAGGTAAGTGCCCCTATGCCAATGCTCCTCGCCTACTCGACGTTATTCCTCTTTAGCGTCACTTTTTTTGCGGTTCCAAATACAGGTATCCCACATCGTCAGCCCTCGCACGGGGACGACGACGACAATCATCAGCTCGGTTCTGCAACTTTCGTACCTAAGCTTGGGGATGAGCTTGATGTCGCTCATGACCTTGGCCACCTCGTCCTTCAGGTTGAAGAACTTGATGACATTCCTGAGTCTCGTTACAAGGACCACCGTAAGGAGGCACTTGGCCGCATCATTCGCGGTATCCTCGCGTATCACATCTTGCCTGAAAAATTGGATTCTACTGCGCTCGTTCAAAACTCCACCTATGCAACGAACCTGACATTGAAGGATGGGAGCATGAACTATCAGCCATTACGCTTGAGCGTCCAGAGCACGATTGTTCCCCCTCGACTCAGGATCAATACTGTGGTAGATGTCATAAGTCGAGATACTGAGGCTAGTAACGGTGAACTGGATTTGATACTAAATTATGGATACATGCTTACTCCGAATTAGGTGTCATCCACAGTATTAACATTCCACTCCTGCCTCCCCCTTCCTTGTTTAGTGAGATGTTTGTTGTCCCTGAAGTCTTTTCATACGTGGTAAGCTTTTTATCCAGTTCCTTTTTATTCCCTCTTATATTTTACATTGTCTAGACGTCTGCTATTCAACGGGTGGATTTAACTGGCGCAATTGATCGCTGGTGGACTCCCGGTAAAGATGGTGGTCATGGATCATTCGTCGGCGCAGAAATCACCACTTTCTTTGCCCCCACATCAACAGCATTCCAGCGTCTTCCAAAAAAATTAAGGCTTTTCTTATTTTCGTCCCTTTGGCGCTAAAGCGCTCAAGAAACTTTTGGAGTATCATATCGTACCTCAAGTCGTGCTGCACACAGGTGAATACACTCAGACAGTCGTGTTATCCTGGATCTAACCGCAATTGTCGATAGACTACGTGCACGATGCTGCATCTTGTACTGCCTTCATTGGTGACCAGGATGCTGGTGTCTTCACAGAGCCTCCCGGCAACCCTTTATACGCTTACAATCTCACTCTTCCCACCCTGCTGGAGAATCATTCTTTGAATGTTCAGGTTGCGCGCTACAAAGCCAAGATTCCCCTTCCTGGTCCTGCCGGTTACTTTACCAGGTTCGTGGTCAACGGTCGCCATGTTGGACCATATGATATTCCCGCTCGGAATGGCGCTTTGCATGTCATTACGAACTTGCTCGATCCTCGTGGCCACCACAAAGAAGATCATAAACACCATGGGCATGAATCGGTTGACGTCGACTGGGAGGATTGGGAGGAGTGGCTGCCACAATGGGCCATGCAAGATTAAGCCCACAGGTATTTCGCAACCCATCTATCATAGATGTGATGATGTGAAGTAACTGATTTTTGACTTGAACGTATATATTCGTGTTCTACAAAGTTTTGCACGCGGTATTATCTATCTAATGTACAATCAGAAAGCATGAATGACCAGGCTGTATTTCTGCAGTTGTATACATGCATTTGATCTTTGTAGGGTGACACGCCGCGATGGCTGCTGCCAAATGTGCATGGACGGTATCCCCGACGTTATCCGAAACCGTCAAGCTGTATAAGATTACTGAAATCAACCAACGAAAGACCTGCTGGGTGCTGGAATCGCTTGTATATGTAAAAACAAAGCTAGAGTCACCTATTTTCATCAAATTTCAGTTGTAAACTCTCTGAGGGATGCCGATATGAGGTTCAGACGTGCAAATCACAGGAAGGTAGAAAACTATATTGAGTGAAGTGATGCGAGCATTACGATGATATGCAGAAAACCTATGGGATAACATGCAAATGACAAGTAGGGGGTAAAATACAGCAGACCGGGTATGAAGAAGGAAGGCCAACTTGTTGTAGGTAGGACTTTAGCAACTAGCAAAATTCCCCAAGGAGTAAGTACTAGAAAGCACAACGAAAGTGTTTGCGTCAATTGTGCACCGTTGCTCATTTCAAAGAGGCTGTCGTCTGCAGCCAGCTCATAAGCTCTTGTTCGAACGGCATTTCCGATGAGGATTGACGACTCACTGCGAACCCACCGAGTGTCCGGCTGGAATATTGGGAGGAAAGGCCGTGGGACTGGCCGGACCGGTACGTCCGAGATGATGATCCTACAGTAGTCGTGCTTGGAGTAGAGGGTACTCCGTTCGTGGTCGTTCGTGAAGTCCTGGCGGTCAACAGAGTGGGAGCACTAATCTGTGACTTCTTGGGTGTCTCAGCGACTTTGGTTCTAGATGAAGAAAGCAAAGTCTTCGTAGTAGCTGGTGAAGGGCTAGTGATCTTGCCTCGACGTCCTGCACGGAGGAAATTATGTTGCAGTGCTGCTTGAGGTTTCATCCTTCGCTCGGGATCCCATACAAGACAGCGCGCAATGAAGTCAACAAAGTCATCATCTTGACACCGTAAGACTTGAGCAAGTGTTTTTGTACCTGGTCGTCTACGACGACCTTTGGAGTTCACCACAGGTCTGGGTGCACCATTGTTGTCTGGAAAGGGTCAGGAAAGTGATCCAAGGTCATCAATATGTCATCTTACCGAAGAAGAGTCGCTTTCGGGAGCTACGATTAATGAAGTCCTTATCTGGGGGCCCCAAGACCTCCATGATACAAGACAATTGCTCCTGCTCGTTTTCACCAGGGAAGATAGGGAATCCTGTATAGAGCTCGGCGAGAATGCAACCCAAACTCCACATGTCGATAGCCATGTGATAGTTCATGCCCAGGATAACTTCAGGCGACCGATAGAAACGACTCTGAATATAAGTATAGACTACGCACGGCTCAGTAAAATCTTAGAAACCATAGCAAAAATTAACTAACTCTTCTCGTGCTCTAAGCAGCTACTGCCGAAGTCTATGACCTTGATAGCACTCTTTGCAGGGTGTCGTAACAAGACATTCTAAACGGAGCCGTAAGACAATGTGCATGCAATGGAAGAATAACGAACCTCTGGCTTGAGATCGCAATGCACTATGCGATGATGCCGCATCAAGCACAGAGACAATATCATCTGGCTCGTGAAGCGTCTTATCAGCGCGGTTGTGAATCCCACAAAACCGTTCGCTTTGATCAGTTCGTACAAATTGATGCTAAGTAGTTCCATGGCAATGCAAAGGTGATTGCGGAAGTAGAAATGCTCAGTCATCTTGATGACATGGTGCTTCTCTTCGTGGTCCTAAAAGACGCGTTAATTTTTTGAGAGCGATGTAAGTATGGATGCATACCCATTTACGAAGATTGTCTAGGATCTTGATCTCCACTAGTGCTTGGTGATGGAAACGCTTTTTGTTGCGGATGATCTTAATCGCAACGGATTCACCTGTCTGGTGATCTCTGCAGCTCAACACTTGACCGAACGAGCCCTTGCCTAAGGTATCCATGATTTCGTAGCGGAAAGCAAGATGATCACCGTTGACCACTTGATAATCACCACGTTCATCATCATAACCGAAATTATTGACAACAATCTCAGGATGAGCCTTCTTCTTCGGGCTCCCAGAACCTATACAGTAGACCTGAGGATAGTTGAGAATCTCTTCTTTCTCATAATCGGACAGGAACTGAGCCTGGGAAGAGTTTAACACCTCTGCGTGCAAGATCAATAATTGAACTTCTCCGGGTAGAAAGCAACTGACCCTGAGGCGTCAATCCGGGACTTGGTGTTATCGGTTCTGGAAACTTAAGCAGATCGTCCAATTCAGCCTGCGACGCCCCGTGTGCCATCTTCTTAGTCTGCTGCCGTCTGATGTATTGCATCATCTCTTCATCGCCAAGGAGTTCCTCTTCATCAATGGTGCTGGGGACCGGAGAAGGAGTTGATAGCGATTGACGACTGGAGGCAGGAGTCCCTGCTTGAGCCCGGTGTACGCTCGTCGTTGAACCATTGTTATTTGAAGAACGTGTGGAGAGAGAAATCTTCGGGCTGAGCAGTTTCAAACCTTTTGACGGAGACAAAGCAGAAAACCTATGCGAGTGCGTTATTTCATTGGGAGGAGCTACCGAGGTAGTGGAAGCCACAGAGCCCGTAGACGCTTTACGTAGAGTACTGAAGGAGACCGAATCACGATTGGACTTTCGAGGGATGCCGCCAGCAGATGGGGGCCCAGAGACCTGCCTTGGAACTCGGGAATTGGTCGAGGGAGAAGCTCGGACGGAGACCCGCCTCGTCGTTGTCGTTTCGCCTGATGCCTTCGCAACTTGTGCGTCACCATTCTCCAGAACACCAAACTCGTTCATCGTGGGATCGGCAGGCGTGGGCGAAGGGTCCGTCGAAGGGGCAGTGACATTGAGGCTGATGCGACGGTTGGATGCAGTTGCACCTCCAAGTCCGGGAGATCCTGCAGCTGAGGTACGGCTCGAAATGCGAGGAATCTTGGTTGGTGTTTCCTTTGACATGCTACCTATGGAGTTCAATAGCACTGAAGGTGGGTAATCCTTCGCTTCCTTCGTCACACAGTACCCAGTGGTTCCAACTGATGGCGACCCCGCGATTGTGGGCAACGGTTGGTTTCGACTCCGCAGCGAAGCATCTGACTGCTTTTGCATTGAGCTTACAGTCTGCGAGGTCACACGTGATATAGATGGCGTTCGAGTGACGGTAGATGCAGGGGTAGACGCTGAGGAACTGTTCTTTAAATTCGCAACACGCTGAGCAGTGGTGGCAGGTAATGCGGACATCTGCATGGGTGGTAAAGCAATGGCAGAAGCTCCTTTTTTTGGATCTGTGGACGATAGAGTCTGGTGGGTCCACAGTATTGTCAGATTCATTCTGGATACAAACAGCGGGAAGGCACACACCTTGCCTCTCTTACGTCCCATCAACAAAGATATCCTGCTTTCACTACGGTCCTTCTGGTCTTGCTTCGACTTCTCCTTCTCTGGATCCTTGGACCTTGCGCTGTCCTTGAAAGTGCCACTATCACTCTTATCCCCATGCAGACTTCTCCGCGAACTAGATTTCAACAATGAAGGCAGGCCAAGGCTAAGCACAGACGATTTCTTCTGTGAAGAGGCGGGAGTAGCCGGAATGGAACGATTTGATTCTTTATTTGGAGAGCGGCTTGCCTTTACGTGATGGGCTGCAGAACCACCCATACCTGATGATGATAGCGTCGGTGATACTGACGTGATGACTGAGTTTGAAGGAGGCATTTGCATGCTCTGAGAGGACGAGCGACGGAAGAATGGTATGGATGATGGCGTGAGACGTTTAGATTGATGACGCCGCATCGACGAAGGGCTGAGCGGGGCATTATGAGCAGCGGACAAGGCAGACGTCGTGTGATGGCTGGCGCTGGAAGCTGTTCCAGCACGGCTAGGAGCCTTGCCAGATAAGACAGCGGGGGACTTCGGAGTGCGGGTAGATCCAACAGACGACATGGATGCGAGGGATGCAGCAGATGCCATCGCATCCGGGTGACCAGGAGACCAAGAAGTACCAGGAGCAACGGGAGGAGAAAGCGCTTGCTCCCTAGATCCTGACTTCCGCAACTGCTGCCCGAACATCTGCGTCGATCGGGGACTGAGAGGGAAACTTGAAGACTTGGTTGACGGCGAATCTTTCCCCTTCATCGACGACATTGATGGTGTGAGTTTGATATTGAGTGCATTCGAGAAACTCCACTTCTTCGAGGGCGTCTTGGTGATTGAAGGAGCAGACTCGGGAGCGGAGTGGCTTCCGTGATTCGCAGATGATTGCAAGTATTGGGCGTGCGAATGTGACAGTGGCTTCGAAGAACCAGGGGGAACCTCTAATGACATAGTGCGGTCAATGTCGCTCTCATCGGCGCCAGAAGGGGGGAATGCAATCCCATGCGAGGACTGGGGAGGGGAACGATAAGTAGATAAGTCCTTGGGTAACGGTGGGACGGGAGGCACCCGATCTTCTTCCAGAGCTTCACCGCTGGCGGCGAAGGAAGGTTGACGGTCCTTAAACGCTGCCACATCACCACCTGAGTATGCACTAGAGATATCGCTACCCGCGCTGTTCCGCCTTCCCTTCCCTGCACTAGTCGAATGACGCCCAGATGCCGAAGGGCCGGATACTGAAGTCATGCTGGTAGCTGTTGACATAGATGCGGAATCACGCGAACTCGTCGGGGTGGTTGTGTATGTAGTGGACGATGCAGACCCACGCTTTGGAGTGAAACTCAACCGTGTACTCATAGAACCAGGCTTTTTTGGAGTTTTCTCAAGGCCAGATGAGCTATACGCATGTTCGTCACTGCCAATAATTCCACCACTTCGAACTTCAGAATGCTCCTGCGAAGTATCCCCGGAAAGAGAAATACCAAGGCCAATAGGCTGACGCTGAGAGATTTCCTCCTTTCTCTCCCTGTCCTTAGTGCTGGCTCGGCGAGAAATTTTGCCTCCACCGTCAGAGCTGACGCCCTCCCAGTGCACCCCAGATCTGCTAGCAGTGCCGGCGGGTGTTCCAGGGCGACTCATACTCGAAGGCCTTCCAAAACTTCCAACGCTTGCACGTGCGCGTGCAGTCTTCATCGACAGTCCGTCGAGCTTACGCAAAGCATCAGCGTGGGCATCGTCATCTAAACCCGACCACCCTTCCTGCGTCCCGCGGAGAAGCGAGTGTGCAACACTAGGGGAGGAATGAGCTGGTGGTTGACCTTGAGACTGTGCCATATCCTTGTGGGATGATGATGGACGCAGAGGTGGATTGGTAGTACTGGTGGCACTGCCAGCGTGCCGAAGAATATGTTGAATAGAAGTTGTCGAAGGAGAGGGAGGAAGGTGGGAAAAATCTGTGGTATGCACACGCCGAGAGTGTGCGTGAAGGGCAGCCTCATGACTCGACGACGAAGATCCAGCAGAAAGTTGACGCGTATGTTTCTCTCTTTCCAAATGTACAGGAGTAGCATCGATCGGAGGGGGTACACCGGAAGGTTTGCCTGGTGTACTAACAGCAAGACTTTCCCGACGCCGGACACGATCGCGAGAGGTGCTTCCAGAAACACTGGACCCAATGCTACGATGCTTGCGCGTCGATGCAGATTTCTCATCCTTGTCTCTGGTTGTTGAGCTGGTGCGGTCTTTTGGAACACCCGACAACTTAGAGACAAGAGCACCGGTATTGTCCATCTCAAATTCGTCCGACGTGCGCTTCTTAGCCTTACGCTGGGAAGTAAAAGCGCTAGGAGGAGACGCAACCACTGGACCACCGAGCAAGGGTTGCTCAGTAGGGAGAGGTGGTAAAAGTGGCGAGGGTGGCTCTTCTGGAGATGCAGGGTGATGTTTAGGTAAATGAGTGGGATGTAACAACTCAGAGCCGAAAGGCTTGCGGGGATACAAAATTTCCTCTCCTCCACTTTCATCCGCCATAGATCTACGTGAGCGGAGAGTACGGGTAACAGATTTTGCGTCCACTGGCTACAAACCACTTGTTAGTTTATATAACGTCAGTCTGACAAAATCATACCTCATCTTTGCCGTCTGACTCGCCGTCGACTGCCTCGATGGTCCATGGACTATCGGGGCCATCCTTGTCAACTTCGGCTATGACTAATTCGGTGGCATCCTCCTCGAGGACATCATCTCCGTGAATCTGCTCATCGTGGCCATCTGTATCTTCGTCATGTGTATGCCTCTGTATTTTACCCCATCTTGGGGTAGTTAGCTCGCCTACGCCTACGAGGCCCATCCTATCAATGTTGGCCGGATCGCGCCCTGGCGTAACTGGTTCATTGGGGTTGCGCGTTTCAGGTGTCATGGGAGGAAATCCTGGTTCGGGTAACTGCGATGCAGGCGAGTCTGCTGGAGTCTGAATGCCAAAATAGTACGGGTCGAGGGAGGACGAAACCGATCCCGAACGCGATGGGATTTCAGCGTCTGTGTCCATCGGTAACAATTCGTCGTCAGGTGGCGCTGCTGAGATATGAAGTCTGGGCTGATTAAACCTTCAGTGTGAATCTGACACGGATTTGAGGTGATATTACCTGTGTGTTATGGACTTGGTGGATATCTAGGCCATCGTTCTCGTCCACGATTTTCTTGTCGCCTCCTTGGGTGGTAAACGGAAGGTGAAGTTCGTGCTCACGTTGGCTCTCTAAAAGCGCAGACGTGGCCGACATTCCAGAGGAAGATCAAGAACGAGTGAGAGAAACACGTAAACGACACCGTGGAACTCGAAAAAAAAGCAACACGCGGTGGGTAAAGAAGAAAGAAAAGAGAAAGGTGAACGAGATCTTGATACTTATCTGCCGTTGTTGGGTAGTATGATAGCGATGCTGGTCGCCGTTGTTGACGACGACTAGCAAGAGCTCGAGCAGAGAACACTCAGAGTCTCATAGTACGTACTGACTCTGGCCTGCGCCCGTTATTTTGCTTTGTTTGCACTTGCAGTGGCTCATTCTTGGGGAAAAGGTTTACATTTGCCGAAAAAAATACAACTGACGACTAGCACTATTGATCGATCGCTAGCCACCTTAAGACAGTTGAATCCAGTCGTGAGCAAGGTGATTGATGAGAAATAGCCATGAGTTTGCGGAGATATGAAGATTTGTGAAGAGTTCATATAAAGCTATGTAAACCGCTTAATTCTGGTTGCAGAAGATAATCCTGGCACGTAAGGATTCCATGCTGCAGGTATGGTCACCCGTCGCTTCGATATGACATGACTCACAAGCCTGGCGAAAACCTAAGCGATTAGTATGTATGTTCATTTAGCATTATGTAACTGGGCGCTGAGTAGATGGGTACAACGCGGATTCCTGGAGCGTCATGAATGTCATCTCCGTCGAAAACGGTAGAATCGCGGAATATGATGGTATCTTGGGTAAAGATTCTGGGCAGAATAAGGATCCGGCCGCAAGGAGAAACTTGACACCATCAATCTCGGTTCGCTACCTGCAGTGGAATGTAATACGTCCTTACCTGGCCGTAACTCGTGTTTGCGGCTGGACAAAGCCGACCTTGAGAAATGTGACGAACAACGAGAGTCGCGGTCTCAAATCCAAGTATAAGCGCGGAGCCAGGCTGATTTCGGGTACCCGTTGGCATCACACGCTGAATCGTCAATTCAAGGTGAAAATAGCCGATGGAACGACGTACCGGACGGAATCTATTCACTACATAATAATCAGTAGTTTTAGACAAAGGTTTTTGGCCATGTCTTTGTGTGAAATGAAAACAAATATGACACAGGGTCGTCCTCCGGGTATTTAAGTCTACAGAGGATAAAAAGGGTTTTGTTGGAACTCAGCGCAACTTCCGACCCCTCTTACTTTCTAACTCCATCACTGACAGTCCGCCAGCTCAGCGAAAGTCTCATTGTTCAGGTGGGTTCTCACAATCGAAACTGACATATTGCTGTCAATTGACAATCGGCCATCATGTGCTTATCATCTTCTAGTATATCTGTGTGCTTGTTCAACAACATTTCGTCTTTGAGCTCACAATCCTCTATTCGGTGTCAACTTCTCAGCATTCACGAGTTATACGACTTCGGTTCCCACCACGTGAAGGACCAAGGGCCGGAAGTGCGTCGAACTCGTGTAGCAAAGAGCCCTGAGCTAATCTGGAATCCGAATCGTACTAATTCTTCCGCTCCTCCACCGTCTTTCCTACTTACCTCGTGCCTTTACCCACAGCAATATTCTTCCAATTTCCTATACATCCATAAAAGTCAACAATCTTGAACCATCAGCACTCAGGGCCGCCACATACAGTCTCTTCTTCTCTCGCCCTCAGCAGCATGTCTTCTGTGGAGCGCAATCAAACGCCAGACGGCGACGACCTCGCTGAGGCGCAGTCTACAGACCTTCAGCCTCAAATGACAGTTCATCCCGTCAATGGCTATTCTAGCATGCCCATGCATATGTATCCTTTCCCACCTGGCCTAGTTGCCACACAACCTCTTCGCTCCAAGCGCAGGCAAGTCAAGAACGCTTGCACAAACTGCCAGAAAGCATGCAAGAAGTGTGACGACGCCCGTCCTTGCCTCCGTTGCGTCAAATATGGCATTGCTGAAGAGTGTGTCGATTCCCAACGCAAGGAGAGGAAAAAAGGCGTGAAAAGGGGACCCTACAAGAAGCGCGATGGCAAAGGTAAGATCATGCTCCCTCCATTTGTGCACTACTCTGAGACGCCACTCGTCCATTCACCCATGCTCTTATCTGATTGGTTCCTTCCTCTTCGTTCTGACTGTCGTTGAGATCGCGTAGGCACCAATGCCGATATTGGCGATGTGCCCGAGCAACCCAGCATTCCCGTCACGACGGAAGTGCCAACCCAGTCGGCGTCGCCGCCTTTACAGGCAGCGTATATGGCGCCCATTGGGTATTCCATGTTCCCGGGCCAGTTTCCGGGGTCACCTACTCCCAAGCCTGGTGAGGCTTCCCCAGCATACTATCCCCAGTTCTATGCAATTACGCCAGTGCCTCATCCTGGACAAAATGGGCATCCAGGTCAAGACCCAGACCAAGGTTACCCGTCCATGGCCCAGTACATTCCGGCCGCATTCCTTCCGTATGCCCCACAGTCGTATGGGTACATGTATCCGCACCGCCCTGACGGCCAGATGCAGATGATGAATCCCCATTATGCTCCGTATCCACAGATGTACGGCAAGCCGCCTTCGGCTGGAGGGTCAAGCGACTCTGGACATCTCAATGGGCGGAACCACGGTGAAGACTAAGTGAGGTGTATAGCATCTCGAAGGATTCCTTTTGCCCCTTTATTTTCTTGATTTAGTGTGATGTGCCCCTGTGATGTCGTTTTGTGCATTAAACTAAGGGCTTGTGTTCAACTTACATGCATCCCATTTCGCCTTGCCTGCGTTGTCTTCTGTACTGTTATATAGCACTGTCCATACTTCGTAGTCCGTTGTGCTTAGGTCTATTTGCTTGATGCATTGTAGCCTTTGCCATCTTTGACTGATCTTCATTTACTTCAACATGAGTTACTTGACATAGCGTACTCTTTGAGTTCAATTAAATTCACGCCTGTGTCAAATTCTATGACTTATATTGGAACGTGGATACTAGAACATCCTCCGCACGAAGGCCACGAGGAGAACGAACGTAACAAGCAAATGAATCTGATAACATGCCCATTCGCCTTGTGCAGCATTCGGGCCTCTGAAGAGGCCCCCACAGATATTCTGCGGTTCGATCCCGTCAATCAATACCCCGCTATTCCCTAAATCATATGCCCTTACAGAATCTCGATCCACAGGCACCCATAACTCGCGGGAATGCAGTGGAGCGTCGCTGTGTTCTGCGCTCCGCGGCGCTGGGTTTCCATGGTCCTGCATCGAAACGTCCTGCTTACGGATATCGATAGTTGGAATTTATTTGGGGTGTGCCAAGATGCTTGGTTCGGGTTGAAGCCTGAGCCTGGGAGCGAGAAGGGATCTGCGCAGGGAGAATTTGGTATGAAAGTTAGCGCTCAAATGCGCCTGAGGTAATAACGCTTGACTAGTGACTGTGATGAACAGGACTGAATTCGGCTCCTCTGAGGGCAACTGCCGAGCCCAGTGGTCGGCCATCATTCGAACCAAGAAGTTCAACATGCGCGAGCGGTATCCGTTCATGTGCAACGACCAGGTCCTGTGGCAGCCAAATTGCAAGATTGCGACTATACGGCCAACTGCAACCTCCCAGCTCCGAATCGACGGCGCGATTTAGCCCTTCTTTCCCAGCGGCAATCTAACGATGGAACCAACATCTAGGCATTTACGGCGAGGAATGGAAGCAACGGTGGCGAAGAATGACTCGAAGAATGACCTGAGGAACCATCACTTCATTGCGCACGTCCTATTGCCACGTTGGCACCCCAGAACTTTACTATTCCATCGAAATGGAAGCGAGCGAAGAGTGTAGTCGAAAGGGTTCCTAAGTGATAGGCACGGCGAATTCATTGGATGTCTCGCCAAACAATATCCATACTTGCGCAACGTGCATCATCGAGGAATGGGATTCGGACAATGCAAAGTTGATATCCGCAATAAACGCGCAACAACCGAGCTAGAGCACGCGAGAAGGTCAACATTCATCTCCAACTGGACGCTATGTTGCAGGAACATACATAGGACTGAGGTACGTATCACGCACCGTATGTGCTTCGGTAGTCACTGAGATTGTTCATCGTGACTACGCTTGGAACACCGCCAGAACGTCGGAGGTCTGCCGGTTCCAGGACCGTATGCTTCTGCCGCAATCATCGTGCGACGTCTCGTTAGTCGTAGTCCCAATAACCTCCTCAGAAGTAATCAATTATTGAGGCCTGAGGGTGTGGTCTGTCACGAAACGGACTCCGAAAATAGGGGGTTAACGGCAAGTCCAATGTGCTCAAGTGTGGGGACAGCTAGTAAGTAGCAACCGTGAACCCAGACTTGCTTGTGATGGATTCCTGAACATAGAATTCTGTGTCAAAGCCGTCCGAATACCCACAGATTAAATTCACTTACTGCGATCTTATCTATAGCGGAAACTGACTGGAGCCGTTTCTTGCACAACATGAGGCCTACAGAGATAAGTATCCGGTCTATCCTATATTGCGACGGGGGACAAGTTGAAAGCTTGCCTTTGTGACGCGACTGTTGCTCTATTGATTCGCCATCGTTGGTCCAATTCCGACCTCATGTTCAGAGATGCAGGGGTGGCTTTCCAAAAGCATACTTCGGATACCTCTAGGTGTGGTTTGATTCTTCTGCAAGGACTTGGTTTTTGCGTTCCAATGGCTTTCAGGGGGAAGATCTGAGATGATCTATATGTTCTGGAAGACGTGAGTTAAAGAACGCGATTGTCGACTAGAGCTAAATTAATAGGCCCTTACCTGGATTGAAAGGATTTCCTTTGTTTCAAGGCTGTCCATCATTGACCAGACAGGCTCCTTCATATCAAGGTTGTCCACCATCGAAGGGCAGATGCACTTTCTGTCTTCTTGCAAAATTTGTGGGCTTGGTGAAGCTTGGCCCAGCGCCTGCCCGGAGTGGCACATCGGTTCATCGATTCTTCATGACAAATTCAGATTCGAAATCCCGTGATTAAGGTGATGAGCACGTTGACAGTTACTGTCGGGCATGCCAGTGTTGTGTTATTCCTGCTGAGTCCTGCAGCTGCAGCGCTCTCAGTGTTGACAGCGCAACACGATGCATGATAATGTGACTGTTGTGGCACAGTTACAGCGGGTCTAGAAGACTAATATACTGCGTAAAAAATCAGGAGCTTTTTTCATACCCAGTGAGTACAAACAAGCCTGGCACATGTTATGTCACATTCCTACTTGGCGGCACCGAACTGCAATTTCCTCCCCTTGCTTCCTCGCAGTTCTGCACTATACTCAATATATTTTCTTCACAGACCAAGATCATTCACCAGTTCTTGGTTTGTATGTGACGGCTTCAGCAGAGTGGTTCCACAAACCCAAGGTGTTCCTGCAGAAATACAAAGTCGTTTCCATAGGATCTGATTCTTTGACTGTGAAATGGCCGCCAATTTACGCGCACAGCATGAACGTAAAAGCTGGAACTTCGAACAGGAAATGAATGATCTTTGCCACAAGTGTTATGGTCCCAGACTGAGGCCCACATCAGGCGCCACATGCCCTAGGCTACAGAGAGTTCAGTATGTTCGGGGTCAAGTATGGAAAACTACGTGAGGACCCTTAAAGTGGCAGTTGGTGGTGTAGGATATCGTTGTGAGCCATGGGTTCCCCGTTTGAGTCTCACTCAAATATCTTTACAGTAGTACTACTCAGTCACTGCAGAGCCGTGTCCCCTGGGATTATTTTCCTATGAGATTTACATCAACAAATTTGACGAGCGAGCCCCAGTTACATATTTCGGTTTGGCCTCTTTCTACATAACCTAGGAAAAAACGCAGTGCCTCTTCGAAGAAGCGTTTTTCAATGCTGACGCGCTGACGTCCTATGCACGATAATTATCTCCCAGCGTTATAAAGTAAGTACCCTTGCATATTACGTAACAAGGCTGTACAACTTTTGTTTATAACATGACCAAATACACATAATTCGAATCGCAGGTTGCTGCTACTTGATCAAAAGCCCACCCATGAACCAACAACCATCCTCAAGTCGTTCAAAAGACAAAGATGGCGGGTTGTTGAAACGTTCACTTAACTCTTTATTCTCTCTCATGGGTCTCCAACTTGTTTCTCGTCTATTGACTTTTGTTCTGAATCAGGCACTGGTTCGATTAGCTTCCCCGCAAGCATATGGGACTGCCGCAATCCAATTTGAATTTATCTTAAGCACCATACTGTTTCTCAGCCGGGAAGGTGTCAGGAATGCGCTGCTCAGAGCATGGCCGCGGAATACCACCATCCATACCCAAGGGTCAACTTTAAACAAGGATGACCACGCACCTGCTTTGACAAATCTATCTACATTGCCGATCATCCTAGGACTTCCAGTGTCTCTAGCTATGGCACTTGCATATGCTACTCTTGCCAGCGATGATGCTCGTCGTCAACCGCATTTTCACGTGGCGTTGTCGACATATGTGTTTGCCGCGCTAAGCGAGCTCTTCAGCGAACCCATGCATAATCGGTGTGTAGATAATCTCAGTGACATACATCTTTCTCTCAACTTCCCAGGGCCATGGGCGAAGTTCGCACTGGAGCTAGAGTAAGAGCTGAAGGTCTCGGGATAACGTGCAAGACTATTGTCACTTATCTTATCCTCCTTTATGACTCGACTAGACCAGATTCCGGGGAATTCGCGCTCGTGGCTTTTGCCCTGGGCCAACTTACATACAGTAATGTGGTGTTTTTCAGTTACGCATATCAGATGGGGTATCCTACCTTCTGGCCCATTCGTCTTGCTACACGACAATCATCCAAAGCGAGTGTTTCCAGGTAAGTCCATCCTCCTGTTCAATAGTTAACTCTCTGATCACAGCCGTCAGATCAACATTCTATCGTATTGCCTCACAATACTTTGACGTTAGTAGTCTGCATATGTCTCTGACCATGACTATGCAATCCATCGTCAAACATATTTTGACAGAAGGAGATAAGATCATATTGTCTTGGTGGAGCCCTTTGGATGATCAAGGAGGGTACGCGATTGCCGTGAACTATGGTGCGCATTGTTCCAGACTGGGTTGTTTCAGGTATAGTTATAATCCTATCTTTGTACAGGTTCTCTAGTTGCGCGAATAGTTTTTCAACCTCTGGAAGAAATATGTAGAGTTTACTTCTCAAGAATCCTGTGCTCCCCGGCTGAGACAAAGTCGACCTCGACTGGTGCACAATTTGACAGACGTTCACTAGCTCAAGCCTCAGAGATCTTGCTATCACTGGTCTCCATCCAACTAGCTTGTTCCGTCCTCGTCCTCGTATTTGCCACCGTCTATCTTCCGATCGTTCTGCACCTATTGCTCCCATCTCAGTACTTATCAACGTGCGCCCCAAAAGTTCTTGCAGCTTGGATATGGTACATTCCTGTCCTGGCCATCAATGGTGTACTTGAAGCTTTCTTTTCGAGCATCGCAACTTCTCAAGATCTTCGAAGACAAAGCCGGTGCGCACTCCATTCACCATCGTTTATATTGACTTGACTTAAATGATCAGATGGCTCATTGGCTTTTCCATTGTATTCATTGTTTCTGCGGTCGGATTTTACGCCTCGGGCTTCGGTGATGTCTCTCTGGTATACGCAAACATAATCAACCTAGCAGCCCGGATAATCTATGCCGCACAATACGCTTCGACTTTCTTTAAGAGAAATAAAATTACTCACGGATGGCACGCCTCGACGCCAACATGGCAATTTCTTCTAGTTGCCATGTTATCTTACCTGGCGATCTCCATGACCAACATACACCATCAGGCTGACATTCTACTTCAAACAAAAGGCCGCGGAGCAATACTTTCCGTAATCGTCGTGTCTCATTTAGCGCAGGGGGCCGGGATGGGATTATGTTGTATCGCAACGTGGTGGTTAACGTCTGGCAGATACCTGGTGAGACGGGCACCCGTGAAAACTGATTGATCTGGCCCATTAAATATTTTTTCCAACCGTATCGCATTTTTCACAAACTGCATCTTGTATGTGAATAATTGAATCGATAACATTTTACATGTTCTGTGCGCTTGATCAAACGTCATGCTGCACACATTGTACGAGTATAGCATCTTGTAGCAATGCTCAAATGATTCGTTCTAAATTTGTATGACACGCTGTACTGCCACAATAAGGCATCATTACTAGATTCACTACAGTAGCATCAGCCGCGAATCGTAGTCCATCGCTTCCTCGCGCCTCAAGCTCCAGTGCTGCAGCTGAAAGTCGTTCAATTCAATCTTTGTTACGGATTATGGCATTCAAGGGGGAAATCGAAGAGTTAGATGAGGTATGTCATGCATTAATCCGCAGTAGACGTGAAAGGTTGCTCACAACAGCCAGAATCAATTGACAACCGACAGTAGCGAGCTTTACTTATTTCAGTGGCTGTCGAATCTGGAGAGAAATATAAGACATGCGAGCACCGTATGTGAATTCATAATGACTGTATTTCCCTACAAATTGACATTTTGCAGGAAACGCTCAAGGAGACGCAAGCTTCTGTAGAAACCACGCTACTGAAAGTGCTTATACCTTCGGAGCCATACCCTTTTCCTGGTCGTCCGCTTCGCAATCTAGCTGCAAGATGCCTTCTAGTCCTGTATCATCGTGGAGAATCCAGGTCATTATTTGACACGCTAAGGGTGTTGCTCAAGCCGGCATCTGACATCAAAGCCACGGATAAGGATTCGACTCGAATGTCAGCACGAAATGCACGCTTTATTAGTACTTTGAATGATATTTTACTCACAGCGCGGCACTCTGGACGATTGGAGAGTTGATGGAGACCTTCGGCTCCCAGGTTCGATATATCACTCTTTTCCAGTAGCAATCTGATCGCCCGAGACAGTTCATGTCCTTCATGGCTGAAACAGCCACAATCGCCATAAAAACATTGAGGTCATCTGCGGTGCGTAGAACATTTGCTGGTTGTTCACTTTTTTTTGATTTCTTATCACTATCAAAGTCGCCACACGTCCGATATCATGCGCTTACTATGCTCCGGAAAACCCTGTTTTCAGCCAAGAAGGTTTTGAGCGACTCCCTTGCGAAGGACATAATCAAGCAAATGAAGAACGGTTTAACTGATAAAGCTCTCCCCGTCCAGCGAGCTGCTGCTGCAGTGAGATTCTTGCCTATGAACTGCATTTTACGAACTGAAACATGCGCAGGTTTTAACGATTGTCTATACCCCCGAAGACTCCGTCACGCTTGCAGATGTGGAGTCAATCATGAACATTTGCGTTAAAAGTCTTGAACACAGTGACCAGGTGACAACACAATCGTTGGCGCAGTTAGTGGGACATATGCTCGCGGCCACCCAAATGGAACGTGCCGTGGCAGTCGCAGAGCAGTCACAAAAAGGCAAGAAGGAACAAGAAGACTCCGATATTTCTACTCCTGCACATATCGCAGCCGAAAATACCAAAGTCCTTTTGACGCCAGGAGATATGCTATCACAAATCTCCACCCAGTTTAACAAAGCTCACAGCCGCAAAACCCGTGCGGGAATCTTCATGTTTTACGTCACACTGCTGGGAAAACTTGGGCCAGTATTTGTGGAAGCCAATTATTCTCTGCTTGTTGGTCATCTCATGACCGAGATCGTCTCATATCCCAAGAATGGAGCCACGAGATATGACAAACTCTTCATCCGGAAGCTAGTCGGCGCTCTTTTACGAGAGCTAATAGCAGTACGAATGCTAACCGAGCAGGGACAAATAGCTGCAATTCAGGATCTTTCCTCATCATATTTGAAAAGATGGCCAGCATTGATGCCGGGGCAGGTAGCTCCATCTTCATCTATCCTGACGATAGCACTGGAGGAGGTTGCAGGTCTGTTGCAACAGCTAGGCAATGCACCCCCGCCAGTTCAGGCAAGTCCTGCGAAGTTGCAACTTTGGAATATTTTTAAACTTGGCATAGGACGCTGTCTCTGTACCATTGATGACGCTGCTCACGCATCCAAGTCACTCAGTCCGTGTCAATGCGAGTTGGACCCTCCGTTGCTTCTGCTATTCTACCCCCCTCCGTCTACCGAAGGCAATGTTGGCGATCGCAGAGTCTTTACAACGCGACATCGAATCCCTTCAATCGCCTGCAGCTCCTTCGGATATTGATCGCCGGACACTTGGTCATTCCTATGGTTTGGCAGCTCTTGTCGCCATTGTGCCACATCGCCCCCTATACGTGTCTTTTGACGTGTCAGCCAGCGTTCTTGACACTGCCACTCAACTCCTTAAGCGCGCTAGTGATCATGATGTCCATATTGCAGCAGTAGAAGTTGAAGTTGCCTGGACGTTGATTGCATCGCTGATGCTGCTTGGACCAAACTTCGTCCGCTCACATCTACCTCAGCTACTAGTACTTTGGCGTAATGCATTACCGAAACCTACCGCGAAAGACAACGTTTCAGGCCGGTCAGCTGCCGAATGGAAGTTTCTCCTGCATGTCCGCGAAAGTGCGCTTGGGGCAATCCTTTGTTTTTTGCTTCACAATACCCAGCTCACCACTCTCGATGTTGCTCGGAGAATCTCATCTCTACTTGGAAATGCCCTATCATTTTCAAATGTGTTCTTGTCACAGGTTATTGAAGAAGTTTCTGTACCCTCAGTAACTGAAGATACTGGACCATCCATTCGGACTCGCGAGGCTTCTCTTCGACGTAGAGCATACCAATGCTTCTCCGCTCTTGGAGCTTCCACTTTGACGGATTCTGTGCAATCAAGCTTATTGCAGTCCGTCCTCACTGTTTTTGCGGGTCCTGAGATCGATAACATATCTGCAATGCAAGCCTCAATTGCGTCTACCTCCGGTAGTTTTACTTCAATCTGGCAGATGACGGATGGTTATGCATATGGACTCACTACACTCGAAATATCTGAAGATGGGGTCGACCAAAGCACAACGTCTGAAAGTCCTCGCCGAGGTCACAGCAACAGTGATAGCATAGAACACTCAATAACTGCCTTGGTAAGACATTGTCATATCTGAATTTTCCTGCCAGTGTTGATGTACGCATCTAGCTACGCAGGCCGATACTAGGAGCTTGCGAGCACGACACACTTTCTCTGTCTATAATAAACCCGTCAGAAGAGGAAAGTCGGTCTTTCAATGCTCCGCCACCTGTTTCGTCAGTCTGTGACGCTGCTATCGAACTATTCTCTCAGTTGCTGCCAGCCCAGGACTTAAGTACTACTCTGCGCACAATCAGTCACTTGATAGAGTCCAATCGGTCTCCGAAGCTTGACAAGAACGCTGGGAGGAGGGCCGCTGTGATGTTGAATAGCGTTGTGGCCATCGTGCGAACGTTGCGTGTCGCCATGATTTTGCATCATCGTCAATCTAAGGATACCCTTGGGAACTCTCAAGTCACTTCAGCTCTTGGAGCATTCTTGAAAGTAAGCTTACCGTTTAAAATGTGGTTCGGCCATGCGTTCTTAATTTCACTTACAGGATGCTCTTGTGGATGGTGACCCCGCCCTAAGATCTGCTAGCAGCGAGGCCATTGGGCGTCTTGCCAACATATCTGGAAGCTCCTTTTTGACAAGTCAGACCAAGGTATTGGTTGATCACATTGTAAGCAACCGCGATCCCCAAGGTCGAGCTGGCTGTGCGCTTGCGTTTGGCTCTCTATACAGTCATGTTGGTGGACTTGCGGCAGCCCCTATCTTGAAAACAACAGTGAACCTTCTCATGTCATTGAGCAATGATTCTCATCCGTTGGTCCACTTCTGGTCCCTCCGCGCACTGGGACATGTCATTAACGCTGCTAGTTTGGCCTTCGCTCCATTCGTGTCAAGCACCCTTGGAATGCTACTCAAAATATACTTGTCGGACGCTCACGAAGCCGAGGGAGGGACACTGAACAACGCCAATATTGGTGGTGACTTGCAATCTTACCCCCTTGTTTGCTATATCCTGGACGCGATCATCACTATTCTTGGCCCTGACGTTCACGACTCTCCACGGACGAGAACAATTGTACTTGACCTTGTCCACGAATTTTCGGTGGAAGATGATGAGCCCATCCTAGTGGAAGCTATAAGGTGCATCCAGCATCTTCTCATGTTTGCTCCCGAGCATGTGGACGTCCCCGAGATCGTGAATCGTTTTAGAAGACACCTTAGTTCGCCTAGAAGATGTCTGAAACTCGCAACAATCGATGCCCTTTATCAATTGGTTCAGAAAGACGCTCTAGCAATGTCCCGATTAGGTGGAGATCGCCTTGTGGAGGATTTGTTTGGAATGCTAGACGGTGACCCATCCATCGATGGTGTCAGAAATGTAATTTCAAGCTGGCTACTTCAGACAGCGATTCACAATCCATCCGCTTGGATTGACCTCTGCCAGAGAATTATGTTGCGCATAAATGCCTCCCAGAAAGTGGTCAATACAGCTAACAGTCTCATGGATGACGAAGGTCAATCATTGAGTGCATCTATGTCAAACGATGATACACGGCAAAGCAACGTAGCCATAGTTGCTACGTCACGCTGGAGGACACAGCTATTTGCACTGCGATGTTTACACGAAATCTGCACACTGGTTGCACGCTTTGGACGCAGAGAGCACATCGACATACCTTTCGCTCGTAGCCACGGCATTCCAGTGAACGGCCTCCTTGTGTCTCGCGTCCCAGATTTGATCAAAATGGCCTTCACAGCATCAGCGGCATATGTCACAGAGATACGACTGGAAGGATTGGTTGTATTACGCGATGTCATCCAGGTGGGTGCACTATGATTCGCGTCACTTTTCTTTTTATGTATCTTCAATAGGTGTTTTGCCAGGCCCCCGACCCTGACTATCCAGATGCTCTCCTGCTTGAGCAACATCAAGCACCTATCACAGCTGCACTTACTCCCGCCTTCTCCCCAGATTCTACTCCTGAAATTTTGTCTTCTGCCATCGATGCCTGTGCAGTATTTGTTGGCTGTGGCGTTGTCAAAGATGTAAGTCGGATGGGGAGAATTCTCAAACAACTTACAACAGCACTTGAAGAGGTTGACGGTAGGCATATCCAAATATCTCATCTATAAAAATATTCATGCTTTTCAAGAGTCTGGCAACTTAACTATGGGCAATTTTGTGGACTTGAGCCCAAATGCATCAGGCATGTTGAGGGTTTCTATCCTCTCCGCATGGGCTCGTCTGGAAATTGCTAGTTCTGAACAGACGTACCTTCTGGATGTCATCAAACCATACAGATCGATCTTGGCACCGCAATGGATTGCGAGCCTTCGCGATTATGCTGTCATCCGGGCGGATTATGAATTCATACACGAGGCATCAGCGGTGGCTTTAGACCCGTCGTACGCAAGCCTCGGTAAAGTAGTTCTACTCCCAGTAAGTTTGAATCTTGATCGATTGTTATCAACGAATCTCACCTTTTCAGTACTACACTTCTTCCTGGGCAACGATCCTACAAGCTGTCGCGAACGCCATGAACCGCTCCGATCAATATATTTCAGCTGCCATCCTTGGGAAGGAGGTGGTGCCATTTGCTAATGGTGTCGATTCCACGACAGAAGGGCCAGCGCCGCTTTTCTTCCCCCTCTTTGGCCTTATATATGAAGCACTTGCAACGTCTTCGCCAGACACCAGCTCACGAGTTGACACAGTGATTGCCTGCCTGGGGGCACTGAAATGCATTCTCGATCCTCGCTATTCAGGGAAAGCCCTTTTGGAACCTACAATCTTTCAAGAACTCATAAGTCTCACTTACCGAATCGCTATGACAGAATCTGCAGAGGTACTCATTCACCTGATCACTGTCCTGACCGCTTTTGTAAAACATTTTGGGCAATATGTACCCGGAGGTGATCTCAGGCGAGTCTTCCAGAAATTGTCCTTCACGAGAATTTTACACGCAGTCCAGCAGCAAGGGGAGTCAGAGCGGCGCAGCCATTCTTCCCGATTCAGTTTCCACTCATTGTCTCAAGATATTTGCCTACACCCTTCGACACTCCCGTCACAATCCAGGAAAGTCGTCGATCAGTAAGTATCTTAACCTTTCGCCGTTGCATAACACGATGCATGTTCTTGCAGAAGGCGATCTGTCTGATATTACAAAGATGATTTCTGGCTCCCTGGGTGCCTTCCATCTCATTGCTTCGACATCAGAGTCTGTTCTTCGTGAGGATGTACGGGGAATAGGCTGCGTGCTATATGGTGGTACGAAAATACAATGAACGATTTCTTTTGCATAACCTGTTTTCAGAACTGCTGAAAGACGAAACATCGGAAGCGGATCTAGTGACTCCCACTCTTCCGGCTTTCAAATCCTTGTTGGCCGTTTCATGCCATCCTAGTGTCCGCGAACGTTACAGGAAGCTTATCCACGGCTTATTGTCTTCATGTCTTTTGAACGTGGACGAAATGAGGTTCGCTCTTGAAATACTTATATGTTTGTGGGAGGCTAAAGCAACACAGGGGACGCGAAGGTTTGATTTCGTCAAGAAAAGTCAAAACCAACCTTCTCGCGGCAGTGCTCATCTTGACCGTCATTCCTTCACAAGTGGCGGTTGCTCGTGATGTGGTAGAGCACCTGTTCTTCCTTATATCACAGAAGCTTGAAGAAGGCGACCAGGTATCCTTTTGCTTTAATATATCTCATGCGTGTTGCTGAGTGTCTTTATGTTTCAGCAGATGGCTATTGTAGCTGTTCACTGCGCCAAAACCCTCGTCATCGCTGCGTCTGGAAGCGAACTTCTTCGAGCCTGCGTTCGACTGTTTCTACCCGCACTAATCCAATATGTTGCCAAAATGGTACCTCGAGTGGATGACGGAATCGTGTCAGAGCAGCAGGCCATCTCGATAGATGAGGTTTGGAAAACATTTGCGACACTCGTCTCGCTTACTAAAGACGAACAACGTCAGCACCAGTACCTGCGGATTTGGTTCAAATAGCTGACTTCAATTGTGCAGGTTCCCGTCTCTTGAGTGTACTGTTACCAACAATCACGTTACTTCTACGCCCATCTCAGATGCCTCCATCAACGATACACTCCAGTGGCATAGCACATTTGCTTTCCCTAGCAGCTAGCTCGCCCGCATCTTTCAAGGAGGCCACTACTCAGCTAGACCCTTCTGTGCGGGAAGTACTTGAGGTGTCAATTCGGAAAGCCGTCGAAGGCGCGGCGGGCACAGTGCAGCAGAATATGAAGCCGCAGATCTCTCTGAGATCATTTTGATAAAGTAATTACCATATGTACATGCATAGATGGTTTTCTGCTTCGAGCCGAGGCACGAGGCGAGCGCAGAAGTTAGTCTACGTGCGAATTAAGCGAGGTGGCGCAGCGCTTCTTGCTTCCTCCCACCTCGCAGCATCCTCTAATTCTAAGCTTGTCAGTCTATTACGTAACGAGGCAGGATATGGAAAGCCGGACGCGCGCGCTCCGTTACACGACGTGACATGCACCAAATCTGGCAGTCACATGGTTGGGACACCGGACACTTCGAACACAAGAAAATTGTATAATACCATGTATCAGTACCATGTATCAGTCCGAGCATCAATCTAATTTTCTACAACTACTTCATTGTCATTCACTTCCTTCACAAATGTTTCCAGCCCAAACCATTTACAGTACTCATTGCAGGCATGCTGGTCTTCAAATTTGCTGACCGATGCCTCAATATTTCCCTCGCCAAAAATATCACATCCATTGCTGACTGACCTATCCTGGCATCAGTATCGAGTATCTGAATGGATGAAAAAGACATATGGATGAGTCAGGATCTGAGGATCTGTGAGTAGTACTGTACTACCTGGATACATTGTGTCATTCCAGCTGCAGCACTATTGAATGTATAGAATCAGACATACCCTGATAGTCGGATATGAAAGCTAGCTTGCCGGTCTTGATGTACTGGACATGCTGCATGAAAACAAAAAACTCTGCTATGTCATAGCCATAGTCCAATTCATCAAGCAATGGATTGGCATCCATATTGTGGATGAATTTGACAAACACATCATCATCACCCTCAATGAGCTCTTCGAGGAGAAAGACAGCCCGTGTTGACCCTGTCTTCGCTCTGGGCTTGCTACCACCCTAGTTGTGGCACAATGCAAGGCTGGCTTCTACAAATCGAACACGTGGGACCATGAATGGTGGGGATTCAGGTGAGGATGCGATGGAACAATCGATAAAGTTGTATGTGAGCTTTAGTAAGGATTTAGACCAGTATAAGACATTGGCCTCTCTAAATAGCTTCCATAGCTCGTCAATGAGCGAATATCGACCAACTTTATATGGTCCAGCCTTCACAGTAGTTGAAAATACTTTTTTGAATGGACGTTTGACCATGACCTTATGACGAGTGACCGATCCAAGACCAGTCCTGGGAGGAGCTGTGAGTGTCAGCCATCCAGCATTCACAGTCTTGAAGCCATCAATTCCAATGAAGCCTTCCACCGATGTATCAATAGTCAGCTGTCCAATGGAAGATTCAGCTGTGTCCACTGAAAATGAATGATGCTGTTTGTGTAGCAAGAGGTCAGTGATATTGTGGGTAGGAATTTGGTGGAATTGCACACTTTTGCTATGTAGTCCAAAGACTGTAGAATACTAGTAAGCACTGATGCAATATGAGAAATTGATAAACATGCGTACCTTGCTTTACATCTAAGTTGGCACCTCCGCCAATCTTTAAGACTTCTTTGAGTAGATCACGATCGGGTGAACAAAAAGCTGTGGGAGGTGGATTCTTCTTTCAAGGTGGAGATGAAGTACCACTGAGACCACTGGAGCTTTCAGCACGCTGGTGGGTTCTCTTGGTAGAGACCATCACAGAATTGTCAGTGGTCTCAGATGGTAAGAAAAGCTCATTCTCAGCGAGTGAAGTCGTCACTGATGAGGAGGGCACATTGCAACTGACAGCTGTGTGAGCAGTGGTATGTTTGCTAGACTGAGTGCGACTCGTTCAGATAGCTTCAGCTTCCTGGACCACAAAATCATAGTTAGGGCACTAGTGGCAGATAGACTCAAAAATATGTACCATTTCTGCACAAAGTTCCAGCCAATTCTCATATTCATTCCACTGAACCTCCAGGACAACAACCATCAGCGCAGATTGTTTGGACTTGAAAGTCGATTTGGTGCCTTTGTGAGATGGCTGCAGGCATTGATCATAGAAATATGGAACCGATGGTGGGTGATTGGACAGGTCCACCCATGCAGCATCTCAGATCACAAATTCCTCAACACGCCAGATAAACTCTCCACCAAATTTGCGTAACTTTGGGACGACAGTCTCCAAAGCTAGCTTGATGAGCCCAGACACGTCAATTTGAGCATTGATGTCCTTCTTACCCTCACATATGTTCTAGTAAGCTGAAGTGTAAGTAAGTCACAGCACATTTTAAGATGTAAACGTGCTCCGATAGTGATACCTCATTTTTTGCAAGCTCCGGCACCTTCATGAACCACAGTAACTTCAAGCAAAATAGTCTCTGCTAGAGATGAAGCATATGTGATTTTCCCCCAGTGGTCACGCTCAGCAGCGTAAAGTGCATGTTACAACAAATACCCCATGGCACCTGCTGTAAACGGAGTTGTCGATGAACCTTGCCATGATGTAGGAATTCTAACATCTGGCCCTCTAGCATGAGAGCTGCCAGGTACAGTGACCACAGGAGGCGGATTAGGTGTCAACCTTCGTTGTGCTGCATTCACTGATTGTTGTATGGTACGTGGATCAGGAGGGGCACGGCCTTGCAATTGTAAGGTTTGACAACCTGAGTTTGTAGTCTGTAAGCCAGCGACTCGTCAATTGGATGGTGATCACATACTAGTAGGTCTCACTGAAGTAGCTCGTTTATTCTTGTAATGCAAGTGGCAGGAGTCACACACATAGTGCCCACATTGACCTGGCTCAATTGTTGCAACATAAAAACATGGCTCTCCAGTCTTAATATTAGCCATTGTCATATCCCATATATCCATGCTTCTCATCCGGACCTTGGACCCTAGATCTGATCTGATCTGATATACAGATCTGCTTCCGATCCGAGATACGATAAGCTTCCTATTCATTTCCTGTTTATATAATGTTAATCACAGCCTATTCCTTTATTTGGTATTCCTTGTTCCCGGTATCTCGGTTATCCTGACTTCTGGCTATGCTTTATGATCCGTTAACCTGTGCTAAATTCCGACTCATGTTTAACTTGTGATAAACTTCACTTATACTTTGTGCATAGCCTCGGATAGTCTTCTAGTATATAAACCCTTGTATATGCCCTGTAATACCTCAGTTCAAATATCATCTTAGTTTGTTCTCTTTCTGTCCTCCAGACTTGAGCCTAGTTAAGCTCTTGTCACATTCCAAGACTTAAGGATTGTATCCTATAAGTCTACATCTCCGACTCTATCTTTGGATAGTCTATACTCTGTTGTTTTCTAGTCCAGACCTGTCTGGATTAGTCTTACGCGTGCTTCCATTATCTGGACGACCTTCGGATATCATTACGGTACTCGTCCGATCCTCCGGACGTGTTATATCTCCCTCTCTGAAATAAGGGGCAATACTTGGGAAAGGGGCACAGCGTACGAGCTGAGGCTGAAGCCCTATCAGATCCATTAATACGAGAGTACGACCTTAACAGCCATGCAAGATGGACAATCGCAAATTTGGTCTTCTTTGGCATAGGCATCCTCGGTGTACTGGGTGAGAAGTTTGTAGTCTGACATGGTGCTCTGAAGATAGCCTGCTAAGTGCATGCTAGACAACTTAAATATACCATGACCCAGTGTAGAGCCTCGCGTCTCCACAGGCACTTCCCTTGAATTCTCCCACATTCCCTACACACTCCAGCTCTAATCCCAAGGGTACATCTTGTGCAGTAGCGCTTCATATATTTTACTTTGCAGATTCCACATGCAGCCACTCACACTATGCACGCATTGTGTGCCCTCCTAAGCATCATCCGTATACCTGTCCGTCCATCCTCCCCATGTCCTTAGATGTTCATTGGTGCATTTTCTCACTATATGTTACAAGAACATCTAGACGCTTGGGCCCCTACCATTTTTCTCCTCATCCTTCTGGTATCAGCCCTCACATCATATCCTTACCCCGACCTCACCCTTGTTATCCTCGTCATCCTTGCATTTCCCTTCGCCCTCTACCTGTCGCTTCAGCAGAGCCAGTACATCTGGCCGGACCCTTTTGCTGATGAAGCATATCCATGCTCCGTTCCACCACCTGACTGATCCTGTGGACAGTCCCCTTGCCCTTACCGTCTGGACGGTAACCTATGATCTGATGCACGACGCATCCCCGTTGCCCTTTTTCCTTTCTTAAATCTCTGACTCGGTGCGCAGTCGCACATGCGACTTATACTTAGATCCGCAGCTGCACGATCGTGCCCCTGCGCGTTTCACTTCTTATTTCGATCTTTGACTCACTTTCTTATCTAGCACGTTCTACCTCGACCGAACGTGCCTTCCTGTTATGGTTATACCCTTTACTGATTACCTCTCCCGGTAGTACGAGTTATCACCCACTAATATGTCTCCTGCCCTCTATATAAACTCGCTACCATGTACTATATTCCTTAACTTGAATCTACTTGGTTCTTGACCTCCTACTCTCACCAGAGTGATCCTTTCTGCCTCGCCAGCAGTCTATATTCTATCTTCTTATCTGCTCTTCGCGGATAAGCCTATAGTCTCGATCTTTACTCGTCGACTTCATCGACAAGTAAAGCCCCTGTTAACTAGTCGGACTTCTGTCCTTCTAATTAACGACGATCTTACGATTAACCTTCGGGTGTCGTAAGCCTAGGCTGATATAGCTTATTGTCTCGCACCCGCTTGACATAAGCTACCCGATTTGGACGTAGGCGTCAAATCTTACTTGCCGAAGCCTCGCCAAGTAAGACCCCTAACCTTGGGCTAGCCCAAGGACGTCCTCGACCGTTGACGACACACGCTCTGTTTGAGCGTCGCCAACAGATACTATCCAAGTCGTAACACTATATTCCCATTTCAACTAATTATTTCCATCGCTAATCCTCAGCCTACTGCTACATGCGCAGCCGAGACCCTATTACCTACCTCGCATACTATATTTAGCTTACTTGGCTCACTATATCGGACCTGCGCGCCTAGCGGCACTTAGCCATCTTTACATATACTATCTCTTTACTCTATTTTCTGGGTTGATTTTCCACCCACTTTCTCTGTCACTGCAGGCATTAACTCATTTTCCTTCACCAAACATCCAAAAAGAATTGAATTGAAAGATAGAAATCTACTTATATTTTTACCCGTCAAAACATTGAAAAATTTTAATCAATGTATCAAATATTTTCTGTATGTGGGACATGATCCAAAAATTAGTCATGTTCCTTCGAGAAAGACACTACATTTTCCATTCATTGTATTTCAAATAACAACTTACAATCACGTTAATTATTTTGTCTGTGTTTTTCAAATGTTTTGTGTGTCAATAGTCAAAATTATTTCATTCCGTTCACTTCATGTTTGAGCCAATAACATTAATAAAAAACAGAACAGATCATATCATGTATTTAACAAATGTTTTGTCTTAGAAAAATGAAGAAAGCTTTAAAAGTTTCTTTGCATATTTGTTGATAGGACATTTGTGAGACATTTTTCATGTTTTGTTAAATTAAATAAATGATGGTTCCAGGATATTCCTCCTGAGCAACATCCAATTAACATTTACAATTTTCTGTGCACAAAAAAATAAAATGTATGCTGTATGTTCCTCCTCAGAACATGCACATCTGTAGCAGGTATTTGGTTCATCAGGAAAACCCCAACTTGTTTAAATTCAACTTGAACAAGGGAGTGTAATTAAAACACACTAAGCTCAAGGTTCTCGAGCTGCTGCATGGCTAGTGCTTCAAGTTGTCTTAAACACTACTACAAAATCAACTAAAAATCACAACTAAGCCTTGAATCAAAAGGACTAAGATGGCAGCCTCAAATCTTCTTGAGCCCTGACCAGTGGACAAGAGAGCTGAGACCTCCTTGAAGCCTCAAATCTTCTTAAGCCCCGGCTGGTGGACGAGGGGACTGAGACAGCCTTGAAGCCTCAAATCTTCTTGAGCCCTGGCTGGTGGACGAGGGCAAGAAACAAAGGACTGAGATGGTGACCTTGAATTTTCTCAAGCCCTGGCCGGTGGACGAGAGGACTGAGACAGCCTTGAAGCCTCGAATCTTCTTAAGCCCCAGCCAGGCACAACTAAACAACATTGATATGTTTTAGCAGTGCGAACACAGAGGACAACAAAGAGGATGATCTGTAGTAGATATTTGATAGCCACAGGAATGTATCAAACCCAGTACCTCTGTCAATGATGAGAATAGCTTGTACACATCAGTAATCACGTCCTTGGAGAAACCACAGTGCCCTGTACTTGGGGGCCTCA